ATGTATAAAGGTTGTAGGTTTGAACGAGAGACATATTTTCACGCATTCTCTAGAGACTCTGCTAAACATCAGCATACTTTCCCTTCCTATAATATTATATATTTACAAAAATATTCCATTAAGACCCACGAACAAGCATTTCGCATACCTGACTTTGTATAAGTAGCGGACAAAAATCTGTATAACATACATACACGAGACAAAAACTAATTGTCTTTAGTGTATTTATGTACCTAGTTTTCTAAAGTGTCGCGGTAACAGTAAAAATAAACAGGTTTGAATTATTTATTTCACTTCTTTAGACTACATACCTACCTAATAACGTCATAAATTTAATTAGACATTAAATCAACTGAAGGTTAAAGTTTGAATTTCAACAACTCTTTTTGTACAAAAATTAAACTGGCCAATGTCAGAATAAATTGAAGTAATTTTAGGTGGCAGCTCGCCTGAAATGTTTATGCTGCGATAAAAAAAAATGGTGAGTTTGTTGTGTATCGCGAAATATATGTTGAAATTATTAAATTAACTTATAATATTAATATATTTACAAAGTTATTCAAACTTTATGATATAATATGGATAGCAGTAAATTATTTATCCATGTTGCCAATGAACAAAATCATTTAGCGTTAAACATACAATATAGCCATAGAGTATATAACTTTTCAAAAAATGGTCACTTCTGGTTTGACATATTATAATAGGTACATGAATAATCACATCACTTTAAACAAACCAATCGTTAATACTTCTTTTATCATTATTTAATATAATATGTAGTATTTGTAAATGGCATAAAGCAAGTTTAGGTCAGTAAAGAAATACAAAAAACGAGTCGTTTCAAAAGTTAAATATGATAAATAAAAGTTCGTTGAAAGTCAGATTCAGACCTTTTTATAGATAAAAGTTTTGTTCTTTTTAATGTCAGTTTGAACTTTATGGCATAATATTCATCCACGGAGTATTAACGGAATGATAATATATTATACAGATAAAACAAATGAGACAGTCACTAGGAAAAAGGGCCTTTATTTGTTTTATTAAATCGAGGTAAATAAATGATAATTTCGGTACCGATGGCGTGACTTGTACAAAGTGCCACTATAGAAATGGTTAATTTCTATATAAAAGTAGAATTTTCTGTTTAGCTTTTTTAAATAAAAAGAACGCTCAATGATTTTTTTTTATTTACTAGGACTTACTGTTATAGCTTTAAAAATACAACTGTAGAAACATTAAAAAAAAACAAAGAAAACCCCTAGTATAGAACTTTATTACATAAAGCTGGTAGAAAAGGGGACCACGTCAAAAGCCGCTATGACAAGTCTCAAGAGAGTATGAAAAAAAAAGGTAAAGGACACGCAAGTTGGTGTAGGAGCGACAACAACTGTAAAGTGTACTGTGTATTCCATATACACAGTCCCTACACATTAACGGTGACATGGTTCATTATAATCCTATATAGCGTCGCGTTGCTACATATTTTTTTCCTAGCGATGGTTGTACGCATACAACAACAATTTCTGCATTGGTGTGCAGAAATTACAAAAAATAATAATAAAGGATAGATAAATTTGTAAGCGCGATTACTTGTGTGAGATAAGACGTATAGAAATAGAAGAGCTTCGACAATATTAATCAATTCAAAAATCATTGAGTTTAATAGGTTAGCTTATTTCTCATTATAAGCGCTTTGAACGATTATAGTAACCTTCGCATACACGAAAGCTGTATGTATATTTAAATATTTAAACATTACTAAATATAAATATTTAAACATTACTAATATTGGAACTTTTATAAGCCTCGTGTGTGGAAACAATATAAAACCTTTTTCAAACTAGTTAAAAAAAAAAAAAATATTGAAATTATAAAAATAAAATCGATAATTTGCATTCAAACACCGACAACAATTTTATTATGGAGATACATAATAGTGACACGCGCTTCATCGCTGTTATACAATATAGCATGTACATAGCGTATATACCTAATATAAAAACAACAACCCTTATGTGAGTTCGCTCAAAACGCCGGCGAACATGGAACTTGATGAATATGAGATTATGAACTTTTAACGCACGCGATAACTCTGCGGTGTCCGACCTAACCCCTAAATCTATTACACCACTTCAAATAAACCATTTGGCGGACATACGATAAAAATGAATGCGATACCATTAACAGTTTCCAATCCATTAATATCGGCCGAATAAATGCATTTAAGTTATAAGAGTAGTTTTTTAACGGTAACCAACCATCACGACGGTAATTTTTCACGCGTACTATAGCTTAATTGAGCCGCAGACAAAATAGGGGCGGAATTGAACACTAACGGCTCGAGTGTGAACAAACATATGTCTGAATTCACATAACATTACATATATACGTCCACAAATATGTACACTACAATAAAGATATTCGTTAAAAGTTTAAGAAGAATACAATTCAAAAAACCTTATACATAATAATATTATTATTATTATTATTACCGTCTGTTTAAGACATTATACCGGTACGGAACTTCGGTTTAAAAACATTTTAAGAACTTTTGAAAGTGGTTGTACTAGTGTATGTTTTTCCTCCCCAAAATCGGCTTAAGTCGTTATTGTCTTTTGATCCTTTTCAATTCGGACTGCCCCGTACGTAAGAATATTATATTAACGAGTGTGCTGAAAATGTCCACCGCGAATAAGTTATCTTGAACCGTTATAAAAAAAAGGTCAATTAAATGCGTTTACACTTGTCAGTAATAAGATACAATACAATATATTATTATATGCGGGTAAGTAGCTTTCTATAAATGTCTAAACCTAGTTCATGGGTTGAAACCAGTTTTTGATTTTATTAAAAACCTCCTCATATACAACGGTGCTGGCGCAATAACTTTTCTAACGTATCTTCGTACACTGACAAGAGCAGGCAATGAAGAAAAAAAAGCTTTACCCAAAACTCGTGCATTATTCAACGCCAGACCGTAAGTTTTATTGAACGATACCATTTTTGCACGATCTGTATTTTGGACCTCAATTATTTTCTGTTTTGCTTTTTACTCGGATACAATTAAAATCAGTTGTTCACTGACGACAAACACAAAACCTATTAATATCAAATACTGTATCATGATTGGTCAGGTAAAAAAAAGCTACCAGTAAGTAAAAAGGACCTACCAAAACATATGCATAAAAGATGTACCATATATATATATGTATATATGTGTTTGAATTGTACCTACTTCAAAGACTGCGCTATGATTTTAGGTGGTCATGCTGAGTTAAAAAATGTATGCGTATGGTCTATAGAGTAGCATCTACACTTTACACAAAAGAAGTTCACACCTCATCGTGATTTTAGTTTGAAAAAATAGTGCTATACAATAATTACGGTCAAACGAAACTATGCTCCCTTTAAGAACCAGAAACATACACATACAATATGAAAACACTGCTTTATTGTTATAATTAAATATACTCAATTATAGCTTTTAGTCTGTAAACCTACACGACGACTGTAGAATAATTATATATATATATGTCATCTGCGTTCCATATAAAGTAATGGTTGCACGTCTGCACAGTAAATAACTATAACTCGTTATAAGCTCGTTACAATATTAGTAGATAGGATTCACACGCTCAGGTCTAATCATTAGGGATCGGCCTGGTCCGAATAAGCCACCATAAAAAACTACTCTCAGTGTTCGCTGAAAGAATTTGATAATCTAGAAAAACAAGTTACTTGCTTGTTGGCAGTGATCATAACACGGGTACGTGGTAAATGTAATATTAATACGCTCATAAACTATAACTAAATAGGAAATATGGATATTAAATGACAACGTATTATTAGCGATATCCGCGGTAGTCGTTAAACATTGATTATGTTAGCCAACTATGCACAACTTTGGTCCAACTACCACCAGCCGTTATACTTAGACCTCAGGCCCATTTACTCATGTATTCGGAGGACCTACACAACTCATAAGCTCGGGACTTATATATGTACTGCACGCCAAGACCATAGGTCAGCTGGACCATGCCCGCCGTGCGACACACGTTATACGTTAAATCCTTCTCAGCGAGATATTAATAACCCTTACGTCTGGCGTTGATCTCACGAGTATTTATATCGCTCGGCCTTATTTTATCCAAAAATAACAAAGAACTTTAACACAACAGAAAGAGTACAGGGTAAATAATGGATAAGTCCCATTTTTCATTAAAATTGTTCTGCAGAAGCGGTTGAAACTTGTTTACGCTGAATGGTAACAATTAATTTATAATAATTTTATAGTATGTTAAGTCGAAAAAGCTTGTTTGTTGTTGTTTTAAGAGAACGCCATAAAAACGAAGGGCAAAGATAATTTGATCAAAATCAGTAAATAAAATAATAATTGTATACAATAACAAAAGAGAACATTTTAACAAATATTAAAAAATATGATTTTATTAGTAGAGCAATGAGGATGCTTCATGGGAAGATTTAAATTTTATCACAGTCTCTATTTTCAACATTTTCTTTACAACGACTGGTTGTTAACTTGTGGTTATAATATATACATAGTTAAGAAATTAAATATTTAAAAAAACAAAAATAGTACACGGCGTACATCATTGGTGGCTTTTTTTTTATACTGTAATTAGATAACCATTCACATACAATTTGACTTTTTGTTAAATAAAATAAATTATGCTATAAAAAAAACCGACGACATAAAGTGAATAATGTTGTTTCTTATAGAATATATTTCCGAAATTTAAAAACTTAACGACTATTACAAAAAAAATTAGAAAAGCTTAAGAAATAATTACTAGTTTTACTCCAAAATTTACTGCTGTGTGACGTCCACGTAAGTACGTGGTTTTATATCCTCTGTGATAAAAAGTTAACATCACCCCTTCTCCTGTACTTTTTATGATTATATTATTGTTATTACACTATTAGCAATTATTATTACTATTTTTATTATTATTAATTATTATTATTACGATCAGTACCTTAGTGGCCGACATGGTGGAGTAGTGTGTGCGTTTAAACGGAAATTGACGGTGTCATAAAAATTACAACGATATAGGTAGTTGTTTTTTTTTTTTTTTTGAGATGGCTCGACTGCTGTTTGTATGTTTTATTATTATTACTTTTTTTTTTTATAACCAATCAATAAATTAATAGACAATTATAATTGTATTCCGGAACACGATTTTCAAAACGGAAGAAATTCTTTAGAAAAAATTAAAATTTAAAAAAGGGTTGGACGAAAATTAAAACTTCTTTTGGAACGAAGTTCCTTATTTTTATATAAACCGGATGTTAACACACGTTTTTGTGTTAACGGATTTGGTGCCGTTTTACCCGTCGCGTTTTACGTACAATGATAAGATATCGACGGCACTGCAACGACGCGGCATCGGTGTAAGGGCGACTGTGGTGACGAGACGACAACGAGCGATAGTGTAACGGCACACGTACGTAAGGTATAAACGAGAGCTGTGGCAGCGGACTCAGTTGCGATACGCGTACGTGTGTGTGCGCGCGCGGCGCTTGTGACGGCCACGGGGGCTGGCGGTGAACGCGGCTGCGGGAGGTAGGGGGAACTTTATGGAGGACGCGACGCCCCCAATTGCAGCGGCGGCGGCGGATGAGCTTTTAACCGCCTTTGGTAGCGCCACCAGGCGGACGAAGCGAGCGCGGGAGACGGACGACGACACGTGCGATCTTACAATAATATTAATTACAATCATAACATATTATAGCAATTACATCAGGCCGGTGCATACTACTTGCGTCCGAGATTATTTTCAGTAAGTGAGGTTTTTTTTTGGGATGCAAGTAATATGCAGCCGGTCAGACGGGGTGACCGAGTTGACAGTGTCGTGTAAAAATAATTAAATTATCTAGATAATACAACCTAAAACACATATTGTTTTTATCTAGATAAAAAAATAATCTATATAAATAACGGATCACTTTTTCTTATGAAATGTAAAACAGGTAAAAATTATGGTTTACATAATCACAATTTATTGCAAGCAAAAATAAATTAACATTAATTTTTAAAAATTATTTAACTAAAATGTTTTTAGACAATGTATTCTTTAACCTTATAGTTCCCACTTAGTTTAAAAAGTTACAAAAACTTAGGTAAAATTTGGACAGTATTTTTTTAATTTTAATATTGTCTATATTTATGAAATTTAGCACATGTTTAATATTAGGTACATCATACAGTTTTCAGAATAAAAACAAATTATTTTTAAAACATTAATTTTTCACAATATTATAGGTAGGTCCTAATATAATATTTATCATATGCAACAAATTTATGAGTAGAAAATTGGAAAATTATATTTATGCACAGTGATCAAAATTTTACTTTACATTAATTTATCCTATACAATTGAATCTGTAATTATATTTCAGCTGAACAAATTTCAAGTTACAACTTACAAGTAGGTTCAATTATTATTATAGTCAATGAGTTTAAGGGAACAACTAAACATTATGATATGTTTTTATGGTGGAGTGGAACGAGTAGATGAAAATCATATTACCTACTACATCTCCTCGCTCCAAAACTTTTAAAAGCTTTTAACTTTCAATGTACGTCAGATTTTATTTGAAAATCAATTAATGACAATACAGTTAAATAAAGAAGGGTAATTTTGTAAATAAAATATCACTTACTTTAAAAATGATTGATACCCCCCAATCACTCTACGTTATGTTTTCTCTATTCTCTTAGTTTTTCATTATCAAAATGGCTGTAACTCAAAAATTTTAACCCCTAAAGATATTATAAATTTGCTCAAAAATAAAACAAACATAATCAAAATTATATTTTAGAAGTTTTTTGTTAAAAATTTCCTTTTTGTTGTCTTTTAATGAATAGCCAGAACTGGGGGGTGAGGGGGCTTAATACCAATGGCAAATACTTATAAAAAAAATAAAATCGTACAAGATGCACACTTGAAAGTCAAGTGTGATTTTATTCCCACGTTGTTTATGGCAAATATAATACAACAAAAAATAATACTCGATACAAAGATAACACGTTCTTCATATTCTAGACATTTGTACTCAAGCATTAGCCTCACTCTGCAAATACGGCTCTCTGTGTTACCAGGTGCAGTATAGATAAGTTTATTATACACAGATATATTATGTACAGAGACGATTGTCATTTTATGTAGAGGATCTAATTAAACTAACGGGTGTATATTATTATTATTATTACCATGGTTCATATAACTTACAAGTATCAACCCTCGCCCACAGGGTACGATTACAGCGCAGTAAGCAGGGACAGAATTTGACATGAGTCTAACTGTATAAGTGGATTGTAGTGATATTGTTGAACATTGCAACAGTAAGAGAAAACAACCGCGTGTGCACGATTGGTCAAAAACTGGAGATAACGATGACAACGGCAATGAATTATGTAGTAGAAAAGATCTATGGTCGTAAAATTGGAGTAGTAAAAGCATACTATATACCTATATACTATAGATGTGAGAACTGGTGTATAGGACATTCTATATTCACCTTCTTTTGTTCATATTATGGCACGATATTGATTTTCCTTTTTAAAATATAATATATAATTATAAAACTGCTGTTGTGCAGACTTACTAGGGACAAATAGGCGGGCATTTCGGTGATTTTAATGAAAATATTTTCGCGTTCATTCGAGAGGGAGCCACTACATTGAACAACGAGCTTGTACAACGAAGTTGTATTATAATTTTGAAAAACCTAGTGACAGAAATATATGTGTGCAATCAAAAGGAAACTTACATTAATCAAAGGGAAATCGGTCAAAAACAGAATTAATTTTTTTTGCCCTTTTAATATTTTGTTTTAACTTGTTTACGTTATGCGCTAGTGGCTAAACAACACGGGGACACGTCAGGATTAGTCAGCTTATAGTTATTTCGAACAAAAGTTTTAAACTTTTATTAATGGTTATGGATTATAATTAATAGCTTCGGTATGACAAATTATTATTTAATTCGTAACGTTTTTACGCGACAGCGTAAGGAAGTCATAAAGGGTGTAAAATTAACAAAAATTGTATGGGGTTTTAAGAGATTCTCAACGTTGTTAAAAATACATTTATTAGATCAGTTAAAGTAAGGAAATGTAATATTTATTTAATAAAACTTTTTTAAGAGCAACAAACTGTATAGGTACATACATAATATAACTTGTGTTAAAAAACAACTATACTTATAAACTAATCCCATCTGTACAGTGTATTTTTTAAATTTTAATAAACTACATGAATGTGATGGTGATACATATCGAATAAAAAAAGCTTATATCAGTAAAAAAGGTCACGGAAAACTCATAAATCATTATTTTCTAACAGCAAAGCCTTGTTAAAGCAAAATTGATTATAACTTGAGTCCTCGAAATCATTTTGTAGAATATAATAAATATTTTAGTTAATTAGACTGAATTTCTATATTTAAATTAGTGTTATCAAAAATTATTAATATATAATACAACGTTTACACAACAGCATTTCAATATCAAAACTTTTGATCTCATTTTGTATACAACAATTCATTGAGTACGAGAAATATCACGAAATAATACATAGACAAACAGTAATAATTAGTTATTTAAATGAGCTTTTTGTGTTACGACGGATTCGGTTTGTTTGAGAACGGTTTTAATTTTGGGTCACGCATAAAAATATAGATAAATAATTGTGTGAACCATCACTCGGTAGTCTTGTTTGAATAAAACATCATGCAACGCGTTAAACACCATAACAACAACTAAAAAACGTATCGCTGGTATACATTTTAAACTCTAAAAACGATGAAAATATATTCCTCTTATCGCTAAAAAGTAATTTATCAGTCTTTCATTATTTAATTAAAAACGTCATTCCATATGTACAATCTCAAACCACCACGACATAAATGAGTAGAAGAAACACACATATATATATATATATATATATATATATACGAATTTATTTTGTATTATGAAAGTTTCAAATTTGTTATCATTACTAATATTTTATTCAACATAAATATATGTGTTAAACATACTTTTACAAATTTGGTGCTCAATGCATGCAAAAACTTCAAAATATATCATTGTGAACGCTAAATTGTTTGAATCTAAGTATCTTTGAATCTTGCTCATTTTTAATTGACATAATTATTAGAATCGAAATTATTTTGGAAACGGTTTAGCTTGGAGAAGATAAATTTTGAACAAATAAAATCAGAATCGCTGTTTTTTTATTCAATATTCTAGAATCTATTTTACTTGGTATTGATTAATTTAGAACTATCGAATAGAAAGGGTCTATATTTATGCCAGGACCGTATTTAGAAATTTGTCACCCTGGGGCAACCAAAAAAAAAAAAACGCCCTATTATAATATCATACAAATTTAATGCAATACATTTTAAGCGCATGTTTGTGAACCTGGCTCAGGTTCATAAAACTGATATCATAGACCAAACGAATTCAAACCTAGTCAGCACAGTTGGACAAGTGTTGATATGCGTGATGGTGGTTTAAAGGCAAGTAGGGTTGGGAGTCACCGATTCCAAATTTAATCGAATCATAAAATATAGTTTCAAAAAAATGTCAATTCCGCGTTTACATTGATTCAAAGTCCAAGTAGGTATCCAATAAGAAATTAGCCAAAATGGAGGATTTGCAAAAACTGGAAAAATATTTAAACAACTCAATTATTTTACACATAATATTATGAACCATTTCCAAATTTGTTTTTAACCCGTATAAAAATGTTTATTCGAGATAAATATTTGATTACCCTCAATCGCTCAAATATTTTTATAGCAGAACACGACACTGGTAACATTGACGGAAATAGCGTGCTGCTAATGTAAAATCACATTTGAAATGTACAGAAAGAGATATACATTTTTCAATATGCTAAAAGTTACATCAAAACAAAATAATAATAAATCAAAGTTTCGAACTATTGAATGACTTTTTTTATCTGTTATCTAGATATCATGTGTACAACTTTATACTGTCAGCATGAGCATACCTCTTAATAACACGATAGCCGATCAGGAAAAAAATGACATGGCCCATCATATTATTATATACACTCGACTAGATCGAACTAAAAATTGATGCCTGTTCGAACATTTTCGAAGTAAAACTTAAACCATCTTACTGTAAAACGTGTTCTAAAAAGAAAATACAGCATTTGCCTAAATGTATAAAATACTAGATAAACAATAATCAAACAAGTTAAATGAGAAAAAAATTAGAGGTTTTTTATAAAACAACTTTGAGGCGACTATAAATTTTGGATAAATGAACGGACCGAATCAAATACGACGTTTTACTTTCGTTAAAGACGGGCCTTTGTCAAATTATAGTTTCGTACAGCTCAGTTCTCCTTCGGTTAGCCACGGTTAGATGGTCACATGTCTGGATGTAGGAAACGGTCAACACCAGTATAAAGGTCGACTGTGATTTGACAATTACATCACGCCATGAGTCTATCGGTCATTATAGTATGAATGAGAACAATTACAATACTAACATATAAATTATCATACATAAATATATCTATCACAGTAAATTGTTGTTTGAAGATATCTCGAAAAGTGCCAGCTCAAAAACCGCCGTGTCCGCGCAAAGTTGATTAAAAGCTATACAACTTATTTATGATACTACACCTATCATGTGATGGTAAAAAAATATGTCCGAAAACTAATTTGATATTTTGGGATATGAGTCATAACGTCCCAGAAATATTTGAAAAAGCTGTTCGTATACTGTGTAGATATATAGCTGATACAGTAGAAAGCGTGCGAGTGGAATAGTGATGAGAAAAAGCCGTTTAAAAAAATCCACCATGATTATTCTTACTCAAGAGTCCTGTTTTACACGGTACTATAAAGACACTAAAGTCTACAACACTCCTGATGATTACCTACGCCAATAAAATATCATGTTCTGTATGATTTTGTGTAACGAATTAAATTATAGATAGGAAGTTGTGTGCCATCAATGTTCAGAACAGAGACACAGTCACGTAGGTTTACGATTTCGGGGAGTTAAAAACAAAAATATATTTTATCGTATCGATCAGACCATTATTTTTTTATTACAACAGTAAAAAAAAACTTAAAAACCGAGTATTATAAAATACATAAGCTTTAACCACTGGGATAATAACTTCATACAGCATAATATATAGTACCTACTTCGAATACATTTATTTAGTTATTATCGTACATTTTTTTATAAACCTTTTGATATAATTAAGTGTTTTTCACAGAGAATAAGTTTATTTAACGTGTCTATACGACGTTCCTATAATCGGAATCCATTCCCTATTATTCGGCACACTTATTTTGTGTTCTTTTTTTTTTAGTAATGATCCGTAAAATCATATTGATTTAGTTCTTTTAAAACCGACGATTCGTTCTACTAAACTTTAAACCTTTGATAAAAACCATACATTTGCAAGAAAAATAAATCTAAAAACACACCACCACAATAACACCTAGGGAATTCTAATGATTTTTTTTTTAAAGTTATAACCATCTCATGGTATTCACACTAATCATCACACCGATGTCGTTAGATTTAACTGTATGAATTTCCAACAACAGTACAATTTAATACTAGATCGTGAGAAAATTAGTAACCTAAATTTAATTGCAGGTAATATTATAACTTTTAATCAGAGTTAGGAAATGATGTTCATGAATGATAACTGCACTTTATAATTTGTTTATAAAAGCTACAGTGTCATTATAATTTGATGACTATGACAATGTGAAAAGATATCAAAATTATTGTTCTTTATTGATATTATTATGACGTATTAATGGAACTTTGTTATATTGATCAATATTAGTAAACAGTTTACATAATTAAGTAAAACAAAATGTTGTACTATTTAGATAGAAAGACTGCTGTCTACTAGTAACTTAACTATTGGTGTCCATTTATCTTGACTTTAGTATATTTCATTTTATTATTATGTCCTATAGCATGCTGCTATCTAGTGGTAACGTTTTTATAATTTATGAATGAGTTACTCAGAGAAAAACTAAACGTCTAAACACATATTGTTGGTTATGTATATGAATATATTCTATACACGCTTTTCATTGGAAAAAAAAATTGTACTAAAACCTTGAGAGTTTTTCCCGTCAAGTTTTTTTTGTAGAAAATCGCTATAACTCGTTGAACAATGGAATAAAAAAATATATCCAAAAATCTTTTAGAGAACAAATTACAAATTGTTGAAATTAATACTGCCTGTTTAATTTTACCTCAATATAAATAGTTGTATCCAAGCCTTTTAAAAATAAGTATGTGAAATTATTTGTGTGATAATACGGCGAATTAGACGGCATTCTAAAGTTATACTGATAATAATATATTATTAAAAATAATAATTACAAGTGTCTGGACTCTAGCCAGCTCAAAAATAACATTCATACCGTTAATTACTCAAAATATTGATAAATATAAACGAATGTACAGTCTAAAATGTGCACATTTTTAAAACAGACGGCGGCGTTTATTAGTTTAACGTTATTAGCTGTTATTGTTTTCAAAAGACCCAAAAAACAAGTAGGAATTTTTTGAAATAAATGTGATAAAAAAAAAACCCAAACACGTCAATGTCATTGTACCGTGACACGGCCGTGTAATTTATGATGATGATGAAAATATGTAGGTGAAAAAAATAATAAACAACAATCGAATGAATGTCACTAATATTTTGGATGTTGTGTGTTGACTGTTAAATGTTTTACATTTATTAAACTAATTGCAGGTTGCAGTGCTGTCTACCGCGGTTACTGGTACAGAGTGCTCTAAGTGGCTAACCTAATTGTTGGGTGGGTAAAACAATATAATAATTATGACGATATCAACGCAGCTACAATCAGAGTAGGTACTCGAAAGACGCGGGTGGAAGAAGAGAAATTATTACCGGGGGGAAAGTCGCGACACGTTATGTCAGTGCGGTTGGCAGCAATGTATCTCCGCTGCGAGGCATGTGTTTTTTCCCACCTTTCCCCCCCCGTCGAAAACAATAACACTGATTTGGCGAATGGATACAAGTCGTTACGTTATTCGGTCCTACTGATCACACACTCACACGCTCGTACGTATCATCGTCTGCAGGAAAATTCTTAATAAGGTTTCCAAGTGCGCAAATCCCGTTACCGAATTTGACGTTTTTTTTTTTTAATTTGTCTATAGTAGTAGTTCACCGCACCGGCCGTCTTTTTAGTGTTCTTTTGTTCCATTTTCCTTCTCTCCTACCCGCGACGGGCATATGCGAACAAACTGAAGTGTCGCGCAAACGACCCAATGGCAGAAATCGAGACCACATTAATTAATGTCGACAGCGCCGAGAGCACCTGTGATAAGAGAAAACTGTCTCCGGACGTCAGTTCGGAACAAGCAGTGAAAAGGATAAAAGACAACAAGTCGGCACCAGGTAAACAAAAACAAAAAAAAAAAAAAACCGGCCGTACTATCGGATCCGATTATACATACTCTTATATTATTATTATCTTAATAACATTTCAGACACACTCTGCCAGTGCCCTCAAAAGTGTTCGGAACGGGTGCCGCAAAAGGCCAAAGACGAACTGTTCAAAATGTTCGGAGAAATGGAAAACGAAGATGTTCAAAATAAATTTCTACAAAAGTTTATTGAAGCGCGACCCGTTGCGAACAGACTGTTCAGCAAAGAAACCACAGCTAACGGTAAACTACTGCGAAGGATTCATTGTAAATATCGAATCCCTTCAATAGTGACAGACGACTTTTTGACGAGTAAGTGTTGTTTCCTTATTGTCTCTTAATGAGTTGTATACTTATTGCATTTCAAAATTCAAAATCATCTCGCCGTATAATGTTAATGATCACTGAGATATTGTAAAATCTAACGTTATACCTTATATTATAATCTATGTCAATGGTAATTAATGAATATTTAAACCATGCTTTTTTAAAAAAACTTAATATATAATAACAAGTCTTTGTGACATCTAAGTACAGGCTGTTATTATGATTAGATCTCTTCTTATCTTTTCTTAGTCACTTTTATGAGTCATGCAATTTTCTAAATGACTAATTTCACTTTTTGGACTTATTATTACTAGATTATAATTAAATTGATCATTATTTGAATGCCTAAATTCCATATAAAGTATTAGATATCCAAACACTATTTGATTTAGAGAGAAGTAGGAGGGGAAGAGGGAATGCATTTTAATCTGTATTTAAAAATTCATAATTTTAAGAGAATTGATTTAACCTTGAATTAATTAACAATATTTAAAAAGGATTTAGGTTTTTAAATGTTACACAATATTTAAAATGAACTCCTAAATTTATTTCAGATGTAAACTATGACTCTGATAAGGACGATGATTCCGATTTTGATGAAACATCGTCAGTAACGTCACTGGACTCCAAAGAAGAAAATGACAAACCCTTGGAAAGTGATACGATAGAAACATCTAGAAGATCATTAAGCCGTTATAATTGCGTTGATGTCTGTCAAAAAGCATTTCTTAACTTATTTGGCTTATCAGACAAACGATTGAAAACGGTCAGGGAATTGTTGATAATTAAGGCACGTCAAAAACACATGAAGAGAATGATGGAGAAAGAGGAAAACCAGATAGAAGTTTCATTAGCAAAAGATCTAGCGCAAGGTTGTTTGCCGTTGATGGCGCTTTTCAACAAAGAAGATAGCAAGAAAGTATCTGATCAATTGATGACTGCGATAAGTAACGATATAAATTTGGTCAATAACTTTTTTTGCAACCAATTATGGAAACCAGAGTACATTAACCAAAAGCCATCTGAATGAGTAAATTCTAATTAAAATAAAAACACAACTTGATCAGGGTAGTACCTATTTTTTTTGTAAGCGTTTACACTTGCAAATCTTGGGTAAAACTCTGAACAATTTTTAATTCAAATTCAGGGAAAATTACTCACATTGTAGTTAACATTTGCTACAAAAACTAATATGTTCACTAAGATCGTAACTTATGACTTATATTTTTCTAATAATATATATAATGAAATTTCTTAATATATTTTTTTTTTAATTAAGCAGTTATAAATTTTGTGAACAATGATAGTTGTACACTACAAACATGTAATTTATTAATCGTTAAGAATTTAAATAAAAGAATAGATTTAGAAGTGTTATTACACAATTTATGTTGCAAGTAATGCTTCATATGTTTACTAAAACAAACGATTTTCAAAATAGTACAAATAAATAGAATTAGTGAAATGTAATGGTAGCATTACATTGAATTTCGTAATGTTTATATATTTTATACTATATATAATAAAAATTATTGTGATGTCTTATTAAATATATAACTAAAAACACCTAGTTTTGTTTAAGCAAGTAAATTGAATTATTTCAGTATCTTTTAGTTATGTTTTTCAAATTATATTACAAAAAACAAAAATTGTAAATGTTTTACATCTGCAAGGTTATCTGTATTTATTTTAATTTTAAAATAAATATTTTTTTTGTACACAAATGTACTCATTACGCATACATTTTCTACAAATAGTAACATCTAATATTTATTATCTTTGTATTGTGTTTAAATTAAGTAAAACCTAGTTACAACATAATTTTGATTGTTGTCAATTGATCAAAAAATCCAAACAAAATAAATTAGTACTTTAAATGTTGTTAAGTATAGTCCAAGTATGTAAATTATTAGTTTTTTATTTCTACAGAGTTTCAAAGAATTGTTGACATCATAATAATAATTAATAATGATCATAGCCTATACCAAACAAATTCAATTGATTTTTATTCAAGGTTTTTAATTTAACTTTGATGTATAATTATTATTTAAAACACGTTAAGTAAACATTATGAACCAAATTAGATTATAAGGATGTAATTCATGACGAATTTATAGCATTAATAAAATATATAATATACTGTATTTATAAAAAAAACTGAATTACATTGTTTTATTTATTTCTACAATATAATTTATGAATTTTATGTTCTCATAGTTTTATAAACAGCAATATTTATCATTTAATTGATTTTTAAATGATGTCTAATCATCACTTAGACATCTAATGATGTCTAAGTATTTTTGTATGTACAATTTGTTTAAACCTCTGTGAAAATGTTAATACAAATTTCCTAAAAAAAATAAACAAAATTCTTTTAATCATGAAAATGTATTGTTAACAATTATTATGATAATAAAATAATTGAATTGAACTAGTCAATGCAATAAGGTACCTAATTAAACAACAATTTAAATAGTGTAAGAGTCATTCATTATTAGTCAATTCATTATTTTATATATTTTTTAGAAAAATTATTGTTAAAATAGGAACTGAACAAACCAATACTAATTGGTTGCAAATAGCATAATATTGATAGTATGCCACCAGTCACAGGTATTAGCAGAAATACTGAATACAGTAAGTTAAATTTTTTTCAACAGTTGTTCCAACCATTACACTTGAGAGTTGAATAATAACCGTGATAAAAACTGCAATCTTAAATGTTATCTAAAGGACTCCTAGAAATTGTTTTCCCAAATAGGGCTTAACATTAGTATCTTGGTATAATAGAAATAGTAGACTTATAATGAAAATTATAAAAAAGGAGTGGGAGTTTGGAACACAGAGTATTACGACTACACTGCTGTACCTTGGTTGTTATTTAGTAAGTTAAAAACTCTAATATATATTAACTATTTATTATAAATATAAAAGGCTATATTTTCAAATTTAACATTGACTAGTATACCATAATTACATAATAAAAGTTAAACTGTATTAGCAAGTGTAAATTATGGCCAGAATATATACATAATAATATACTTAAAATGACATAATATAATTGATTTATCATTGTTACTGCATTAAAAATAAAACATTATTACATTCTTTACTCTTGATATTTTAACTTGACCTAAATTATCTTTTAATTTAAGGTTTATATTATACGCAATAACTAGTTGAATAGTTTAATTACACTTTAATAGGTTTAAAAATTATAAGCATTAACTTGGAATGAAATGTACATAATTTTGATGTAAAAGTAGTTATAGGAACTGGGAAAAAATATTTAGTATAGCTTTGCATACTTTGAGATCTGTTTACTAAATTCTTAATATGGTGATAACTAAAAATACAATATTTTGGATTTGTTTCACTTTTGAAACAAATGTGATACAGGTAGGTAATTTGTTTTTTTCTACAAAATCATTGGTTTTCTAAAAAACTGACAATTCATTACTACAAATGGGAACTTGGGGGAGCGTAACACTTATTTCAGCCGATTGCATTAATAGCATCCATCGACCATTTTTATCATTTCTAATGAACTTTTTTGGTCCTTGAAAATTTGAATAGTGTAGTTGATCTGTTTATTATAAAATCCTACTGGGAAACTACAAATTCTTTATAACCTCCTTTAGCCACAATTAATAAATATGTCAGTTAAACACTTAATTCTAAGCATAGTGTTATAATATATTTTTAGATAATATGACTCCATTCTTTAAACCTCTATAGATTAAGACTTCTAACTGGAAGATGTTAATAACTTTGACAAAAAAAAAAAGGCCTAGCTATCTTTCTCTATTAAAAATCAAATAGATACATGTTTAGCGTAATGAGAGACAAAAAAAACAAGTGAATCCCTTGTCACTACTTGTAATTTATGCAACAGTAAATTTAAGATGCACATGAGAACCAATAAAATAAACAACATAGATGGTATTTTGCCCATGAAAAAACTGTCTGCCATTTGATGCTGCCACTAGTACTATTACACTTATATATTCTATCAATCTCATTTAGCCATTTAACTTCTTTAAATTTAAAAATAAAAACAATAAGCTGCCAAGTCAACTTAGAACAAAAAAAGTGTTTAGATTAATTGATAAAAGTGGACATTTAGACATTTTATTAATACAATGATACCTAAAAGGTAACAGTTTTATACCAGTAAAGTTTCTAGCTAGATTTACAAGTATTTACTTTGAATTTAAAAAAACTCAATAATGTAAATTTTAACTGTTAATTATTTTGCAGGCGGTTTAATATTATAAGTATAAATTTAGTTGATAGGCATTTAAGAATAAACAGGTCTGTAAACAATTTAGGTATAAATCTACTTTACCAAACATCTTCTTTTCTTTAACTACCAAGCCAAGTGTAAACACAACATTTTGAAAAATTCGTAATTAACATTAAAAGTACTATTGATTAATAGAAAAAGAAAAAAAATAGAGTCCGGTCAAGTATTTTTGTTTCAAAATTATCTTTTTTATGACTGAAGAATAATGGCTACTAAAGTTCTTAAAATGGCAAGGATGTTAAACTTTTTTACAATATAGCGACAATCAAACATTATAAAATGAAATAAAATAGTTTAAAGACCACTAACAATGGTAATTAATCTACACTTCAAATTGTTTTCGTGAGTTATACTTTCTTAGACTTCAAGTAGGTACACTTTATGCAGAAATTAAAACAGCCAGGAACTTGTAATTCTAAAGTATAATTATTAAAAAAAGTACTCACCATTTCCAATTTCTGAAAATATTGTCTGAAAAAAGTCAATGGCCTTTCTGGTTTTGCGATGCATAGCTGAACGATACAGTCTTTTAGTATTTGTTGGATGTTATTCCGCTGAACATATAACTCGCAGTCACTGATGTTAAGTTCTTCGTACATATTCGATGATGCCATCTCCGTACTTGTTACGTCAAACACGAATAAAATGTCTACATTTATTTACCGAATAACCGGTAGATATATTTACCATCGATAGGTGTGCGCACGAATATATTTTTGATTGGACTGTAGTACTGTAATGTTTTTCAACAAATTGTTTAACATAAAAAAAAAAACGATTAAAAAAAACCCCCGTACAAAAATGCACTCGCCAAAATGTACAGAAATCATTCATAAAGATACCGATCAATAAGTAAGAACAAGGAAGTCAATTTTACAGAATAATATTAGTGATTAATAATATAAAAATATATAATACCTGATGTCGTACCGTTTGGGAGAGGGTTATCAAATAGATAAATAATAAACATTCGGATTTCACGTACTAGTATCAGTCATAGATAAGGTGAAATTTGTCACGAACGGCTGTTTACATTGGCAGTGAGAATAAACAAATCATTATGTCGATACTCCTTGGCAAATATAACTTGTAAACATTAAAACATGTGATAGTTTTGTCAATCGTCAGTTGTCGTTTCGTTTATAATAATATATGTATATGTAGCAATTGCACTACAGACTAAATACCTACAACAATACACATTATAATTTGTAGCATAGTATCTAGTAATAAATGTGACTGCCGACTAGCGAGAACACTCGCATTTTATGTGTTTATCGAGGTAATTAAAATTACTTTTTATTATTATTTTAGTTCTAGTATACAAAATATGATATGGCTGATATGTTCCTGTGCATAATTTTTGAAAACAAATAATTATATTTTTTAAATAAAAAAAACCTAATAACATTCGTACAAAATCGTTATAAATTATTAATTAATTAATTGTGAAGAATTTAAATTGCTTAATATAAACAGTGGTAATCATATTGTAACTTTTTTTAGGTACCTGTTACTAACAGTATACAGAATGGAAAATTTTGCTGTTGATTTTTGGTTGCTCTAGTGACTTCTAAATTATGGTTAAATTGGATTGCTGGTGAAAAGTAAAAGGAAATCAAAAACATTATGTCTGGTTTCACCGAAGGAGGTTTGAACAAACGTTTGAAAGAACTTAACGCGTCACAACAAAGCATACAGACCCTCTCTTTGTGGTTAATACACCATCGGAAATATGCACACACAGTTGTCAAAATTTGGTCTAAAGAAATAGCAGCAGGTAAATATTGTGTTATGTACTTCGGTAATACTATTCTAAAAATAAATAATAATTTAATTTGACATAATATATGTGACAAGCAACATTAAAATTTAAAAAAAAATCTGGTTTTACTGACTGCAGACAATTAATCAATATTTATTTACTATTTTATGTTTTTATATTAAATAAAAATAATATATTATTATTATTGTATTTTTCTTTTTAATTTTGTACCAAATATGCTTTATTTGCTAAACAATTTTTTTTTTTTTATATTGTCTAGGCGATGAGGCTAAACAACTAACTTTGATGTACTTAGCTAATGACGTCATTCAAAATGGCAAGAAGAAAGGGCCCGAATATGGCCAGGAATTTGGCAAAGAATTAGTTAAAGCCTTTGAGAAAATTTCAAAGATTAATTGTTCCGCCAAAACTAGACAGAGTTTAACACGTTTGTTAAACATTTGGGAAGAAAGAGGAGTTTACAGTAAAACTCAAATAGATGACTTCAAGGCTGCATTTGGTATGTATTTAAAAAAAATAATCTTGTAAAACTGTAAATGAATGATTTTAACTGTTATTTCCCTTTAATTTTTATTATTAGCTCCAGAAACCAACAATTCTCCTATACAACAACCACCGATAAAAAAAACTAAACTAAACCACAAATCAAAGAAAACTAAATCACTAAACAATGGAATAAAAAAAGAAAAGGAAATTGTTGTCGAAGTAGATGGCGCCAAAGAGTTGCATGTTACTCTTTCGCCCAAAACTCCTGTCAACGATCCACCTGAACCTGAAGAACTTATTAAAGCATTAAACGTACGTGGGTCGTTTAAAAGAATAAATAATAGGCTAAATAGTATGTTATAGCCAAAAAAAAGCATTTGTTAATAAAAATGTGTATACAAATTTTGAAAAACCCATTTTCTCATTATGATGGTATGAATCAGTCTATTTTTTTTTCTGTTCGATATAATTATTAGATTAATTTTAAATGTTCTCATAATTATTGTTTTCAACAATTTTCACCATTATAATTTTCTATTGTTTTTTTTCTGTGCCATACAAAATATTTGTTTTAATAATTTTGTTGGTGGAAGAAGTTGTACCTACTAGGTTCCTAATAGTTTTGTACAATATATTTATTTACCATTTAACGGATACCCTAGAATTAATGTTCAAACTTTAAAGTTCATTTGTAGTTCAGTGTTTAAAAAACAGTTCCGATAGGAGTTAAAAACAATTTTTATTCTTTAATTTGTGTATTAATTTTTTTTTTAGTATTATATCAATGAGTAATGGAAAAAAATGAGTTATGTATTTTATTTAAAATGAAACATAAAATCAATATTTTATCACATTCATGTCACATTATATATTAACAATACTTAATTTACTATTTGTCACTTAAAAAATATATTTAATTCTGTTATACCATATTTAGTCTGATGCTAAATATAATTTGTAAAAATAAACCTGATTAAGTATGATTTTTCATTTTTAACTATCTCTGATATTATCTTTAAATACATAATAATTATTTTACATACAAATGAGCATACTAATTAGTTTTGGATTAAAAATAATTAAATACTATTTTTAAATAAATTCATAAACTTCACTAGTATTATTTTGATAATTATTTTTTCATAATTATTTTCAGGATTTGGAAAATGCTCCATCATGTGATGCTGTAGTACGAGAACGAATATCTAAACTGCCACCAGAAATTGCAGATGTCAGTTTGTTATCTCAATTAAAAGGTTACTTGATTTTTAGTTTTTGTATAAATTTCATTTTTAAAAAACAAATATATACGATTGTTAATGTATGTAATAAATTTTGGGCTTTGTTAATTTGTACATATTTATCGCAAACAAAGTTAATATACTTAACAATATATTATATCAACCACATCTGTTGTTTTTAACTATTTTAACACACTCATATTCGTATTAAAAGAAACTTCTTGGGAAAAAAACAATTTATTTTCTTTTTTGCCACTGAAATTTATTTTAAAATATTTAAATGCATTATTTTTAAAAGTAATAAAATTTGAATCTATTAAACAACGTTAAGAGACATTTATGAAATGTCATTTCTTCTTAAATGTTAGAACAAACATTTAATTAAGGATTCCGTTTATATGTAATTTGGGTTTTTTAAGCGAGCCATTCATCAAAATAATGTCTAATTTCAATACTTTTTCTGTAGTATTTATTTAATATAAATCAAAGATATTTAGCTTCTCACAAAATTTGTGCGTGGGACAATATTTTGGTATTATTATTGATTTCTAATGTAAGAAAGTATATCTACTATTGTTAATAATAAATTATATTTTTAGGTAAGAGCGAAGCTGAAGATCTCTTGCGTAAAGTCAATGATGCTGTTGCCTTGTTGACTGATTACAACACGAGGTTGGTATGTGAAATGGAGGAACGTAAAAAAGTAACGGCCATGTTACAAGACTTTATACAATCACAAAGAGATCTTATTGATCAAGCTGAACAAAGATTACAGGTTAATATTGTTACTAAATATCATTTATTTTTTACCATTGTATTAATATTATAAGGAAATCTCAAAAAATCATATAACGTAATATCACAACGTGATATATTGTCTATAAAATTATTTATATTTATGTTGAATAATTTTTACGATGCTTGATTGCATTGAAGCCTTTTTTTTTTATCACTTTCAATTATACTTATTCCCAAAAACTTGTGACTTATCTGATCCCACTAGACCATACAGTTCTTTTTTATTAATTTTATTTTTTTTCATACTTTATGTTCATAATTAATACATTGGGTGTATTTGTTTTTCGTTTTAGGAGTATCAAGGTAAACTGCAAAAAGTTTGTCACGTCCGGCAAGAAGTCAGCACACACTTGCAAAACTTACCCGATTTAGCTCAATTGCCGAGCGTTCGAGGCGGCCTAGCGCCTCTTCCATCAGCCGGTGATTTGTTTACAGTTTAGTTTACCATCTTATCTGTTATTCATGTATCTATTTAATGATGTTTATTACTAAACATTTTGAACTACCTAGATATTAAAGTTATTTTTAGTTGGTTAAATGACATTCAGTGATTATTATTACATAAAGTACTATATTTTTCATTTGATACTGCTAATGTCAGATTATTATGTTTAGATTGAATTACTACACAAAATATAAAAAATTTAAAAAAAAAATCAATTATGTCATTATGGGACGATGACAATATTAGTAGCTATGTGTTTCATCGTTAATTTTATCAACGTTCCAATGATGATAATGATGTTGCAAATTAGTGAAACGAATACTGTTGCACCGGAGGGCCACACCACTTGCCGATAAATTCTAATATCTGTTTTATACTAGATGATTGAATAGTTTTTGATACCGTCATCACTTTGGTCCAGTCGTCTTTAACGGCCATTTTACCACTTTCGAAAGTGATCGCCAAACTCTTTTTTACGTCTATAACCGGCCATCCGGATATTACACAAGTAGGATATACGCTGCCATCAGGAGCTGTTAAATTCGACGGATACAGTTGTCTTTGGTCCAACGGCAAACTCTAAAATATAACAGTATAAAATAGCATTTAAATCTGTACAATTATCGTAATAATGTTAGTAAAAATAAATAGGTTAAATAGCTATTAGATTATTATTTTAACGTAGTATGTTATTCGCTATCAATATTAGTAAATTATTAATTTTTTTTAGAAGAGTAGAAAAATCGAGAAAATACATTTTTAAATATAAAATGACAAATTAAAAATTATGTGTTATTTTTTATTTTCATATAATTGTGCATGGACTAAGTACACATTTGAATTGACATTTTATTATATAGATTTTTGTTTTTTGTGTGTGTGTGTTAGGAAGAGATACCACAATTGGACAAATGACGAATTAATTAAATATTATTACGATTATATTAATTAAACTTATGTATGTGCTTATAAATATATTTATTACAGTTGTAATCTATTTTTTTATTTAAAGTTTAAACGTCTTCGCTAAGCAAATGTTTGTAGAACTTTTTTGGTGAGTTTACAACCGAGACTAGCAGTACACTGGTCGATAAAAATTTAATATTATTAACAGATAATTGATAAATTGTAAACGATAATGACCAATAACGAAATTAAAAATTTCACAAACTAATCTAATCTAATTAATTATTTTAAACAATAATTGTTGTTGATAATAATATTAAAAAAAAATGATGTTATTTCTTAATTTTGTGTATATAATAAAACGTTAGAGTTGTGTGTAAATTGTATATAATTTGTATTAATTGTTTTCATTCATACAGTTAACGATTGTCAATTAGGCAATGTAATGCATAAAACATTGTTAATACCTTAACACACCTCCCCTTTCTCAATTATGACACTGTTGAGTGCTGTTTCGGTTAGTTGTATTTAAAAAAAAAATGTATATAATTGTAAGAGAATGAAATTTAGGACTAACTTACAATACTCAGTGTAAATTCACATTTATGGTATTTTATTATTATTAATTAATAACTGTTAGTTATTGTAATTATTATATTAAGTATTTTTATTACGATATTATTGTAATATAATCAGTAATCGTTATTGTATATTACCGTTATGACGGTTTAATTGACAAAATTATTAAATAACTATTGATAATAATATATTTTTATAACAATGTAAAATGTACATGTACTTACACGAAATAAATGTATTTTTTTAACATGTATGTACATATATATTTATTTTTTACAATACACTGATATTTAACAATAAGCCACTAAAAATGTGAATTTGATGCTTAATAATACGAGGTTTTTAATATTTAAAAACGTTTTATACTCAGGCCTAGGCCAGGTTAAACCAGTCAAGACCCATAAGCCATAAGAAAGTCGTTTATTTTAAAACATTTAAATTTAATGAGTATCGAAAATCGTTATTACTTGTTTTTTCTTAAAAAATCTGCCATAGGCTTTACTGAAGATGAATAGGTACCTATTAGTGCCAATGGGTCATTTAAGACGATCTACCTACTAAAACGCAATAGAAGAATTATCCCGAAGACAATTTTTTTTTTTACCAATTTAGTTTGTGAAGCCTGTTTTTTTTGCTTGAAGAAGCGAATTTTACAGCAAAAAAAAAGGAATTTTCGCATTTGTTAAAATATAATCTATTCAAAACTATCACTCATAAAATGAATTTTGATTAGGTAAGAAAAAACATAACATAATGTTATATTATATGTTAGCATTTATACACACATAATTTAAATACTATTAAATTTTAGTAATTAAGATGCTAAGAGTCTTCAAATGGACAACAGCATTTATCACTTAAATATTATATTATATTGTATAATATTGGTTTTTATTTACAAATCATACTACTAAAATACTATTAATATAAACACTAACGTTTATGGTTACCTACAATGGAGATAATCGTTAATCGGTATTTGTGAGATTTTAAACGGCTAAAAGAATAGTATTTAATACATTAAATGGTGGCCAAATGGGAGAAGGAAAATATAAGGTGTCTGTGGACGACTCATTTTGTTGGGAAATGTCTAATTTAAAAATAAAAATTCTTAATTTATGACTTGACTATTTTGGGGCTTATGTTGTAATTTAGGATAAGAATTGGGGTGACTGAACATTCAATAATAACTACCGTAAACTTTTTGAAGTATCTACTCATATCTAATAAATTGTGATTTGAAATTTCATTTTTGTATATGAAGTAAACAGCTATTTATTTTTCAAACGCAACTTCCTTTTTTGTTATCCAGTCGGCCTCTGTCTGGTAGAGTTTTTATATTATTCTATAGGTTTTATAAGTGAAAGTTAGACATAATAAGATTGCGAGCTCGTGGGACATTTCTTAATTGAGTTAATGTGGGGATTAAGCTCTCCCCGTAGTTTTTAAGGTAATTGGGCATAACAGTATGTTTTTTCGCCATTACACTTTTTTTAATTACTGCAGGGTAAAATGTTAAATAAGAACTAACATTCACCTAGGTACGCTCAAGTAAATATTCGAAAAAATCATTTAGTTTTTCTAAATTAATCTATCTATCTATTAATTAATTATAAATTGACGGGAATGTAGGTACTTATATTTAAAAAATAAAGTGACGAGAATCTAAAAGGTTTGCTTAAGTGATTTTTATAATATATTTTAATATCACAGAAAAATAATAATTATGTTCTCTAGATTTGTTCAATACATTTTTTTTTTTAATCGATGAAAAAATGTAAAACAAACGCACTTAGTAAAAGACGTAATCATGGACAAATATTCGACGATATTCAACTTGTTATTAAAAAAAGTGGTCTATTTAAAAATACACAACTTATTCTTATCATTTAAATTATTATACAAGACACATTACAAAGCTAAACCATTAGGTACAACATAGATAATAAAAGGTCATTGAGATTCCAAGTTTTGGTTTCGAACTCGTTCAACCCTGTTGGTGAGTAATGTGAAAACTAACGGGGCATTAAGTCCGTGCAGATATGTAAATGTATACACTATACATGTAAAAAACGTAAAATATTTGGTCAAACATTAATTTTTTTGACCCAAGTTGTTTACCCGACGCAAAGGGCATTTGCTCCAACGCAAGCGTTGTCGGTACGTCAGGTACCGACAAAGAATATACCACGTCAGAAAGTTATCCGGTCCACAGAGAAAAAAAAAGCGCTTTCAAATATTTTATTAAGTCAAGTCACGTTTGCTTTCGTACCCAGTGTCATACGTTATTTTCGCCAAATCGTCACTACCGCCCATGTTTGTCTTGTGAAGACACAAGAGGACAGCAAACCGCCTTTTTTTTTAGTAGACATCAGACCTAAAAAAAAAACTAAACAGACCCCCCCCCAAACCATAATAACTAGACAGACATATAAGGTCATAGACCGTGAAGGAACCGAGTCTTAATACACGACCTGGGGTTGAAATAAATCAATATTACCCTCGAAGGAAAGACACATATGTATTCATGATTAGATCTTATTTATAGGACATGTTTTATAATCGACTGATTAAATACGTTATTAAATTTGATATATGCCCCTCCCCTCTCCACTGGTGACGTGATGGGGAAATGTCTACGCAAATTTTAGATCGACCTCCAGTCTTAAAGCATATTTAAGCCATAAAAGACACCGAACATTATTATTATTTAGAATAAAATATTTTAAGGTCGGATTTGCTCAGCAAAAGTCTGGCAAAAGTCCATTATATGAGATTTAGCTTAGGCCTTTTGATGACTAGAATCCTCTAAAATTATTCTTCTCAAAATTATTTTTATTCGATTTTAACATTTTTAAAAGTGTACAACAAATTCAAGGAAAATGACTTATTGCTTAAAGTTTTAAATAATATTTTCATTGACTGCATTATTTGTTGTATGAAACAAAACATACGAAAAAGTAAAAAAAAAACTTAATTAACTTAGCCCTTCCCACATCTACTCATGGAAAAATCTACAATACATTATTACCTACAACCATGTTTTTTTTAAAACGATAAAAAACATTTTATTAGGGTAACTATAACTTGATTTAATTTCGTAAAGAACCGAGTGTTGCTATTATAAACGTGCCATTCAAATATTATTTATCATTTATGTAGCGGTACCGTACAAAATATATTACACAGGTTTACACTGCATACTATAAAGACATTTTGTTTACAACTAAATTTCTGCGGTCCTCGTTCTAAAAAACATAACTTGTACTACAAGTCATAATTCTATTATTTTATAAATAAGAATTGAAAATATACCTATAGCGTTTTTATTTTTTAAATAACTTGTGTTTGTGTTTTTTGTTTTGATTCGTTAAATTTAAATTTTAAGTGTACGTACATCATGACTTTTTGCCTAAAATGATCATACCTTAGTCAGTTATAGTTGTTGTCAGTCTTTTTCAACATCTCAAACAAAAATATCTATTAAAATTAGTTTTAAAAAAACGAACTAACAAGTATCAAGTAATGAAAGCACACGCATGTATTGTACATATTTATACAACAGCGAATCAGTTAAATTCTATGATTTAAATATTTCTAAAAACCAATTTAAGAGCCAACGACCTAGGGCTAAGCAAGCGTTCAGTCTCTTAAGACTAACAGCCGCTAATTGCTACCACATATGTTAAACCTATCTCAAGGCTTAATGGCCTAAGCCCAAAGGTCAAACCCTCAAGACTGATTGCTGTGGTTTTCAACAAAACCGTATTTTTTGGGTGAAGATTTATCCCTTTTACCATAATTCTTAAAAAAAACATACCGTATAAATTAACACTTACCAGCAATCAAGCGTATTCAGGATTTTTTTTGTATCTTTTTAGTATAAGAATATATATTTTGCTCAATAAAAGGAAGTGTTCGGCACTACGATAAACTAATTAAGTGTTTCGACGACATTGTTACAAAGAGCATAATATTATTATGTTTAGTCATTTCTGTTGTATAGAATTCAGTCTACTGCACCCATCGGGCAGCAGTTAAAATATATAAAATTATTATGTTGTATTTGTCACTAAAAAACATTACTACAAGGGAAAACAACAAATTTTGCGTTTGAAAATCGCACAAAAATTTTTTTATATGAATTTTCAAATCCTAATACCTATCTAGCTTTCACCCAACTCTGACAATAAAGTTTATTTTCAATTATTGTATGGAAAACATTTGTACTTACAACCAACCTTGAACAATACCTAATATAATATGCATAGAAATCAGTTGTGAGGATTCTTTTTTTGGCATATTTCATTTTAGGGTTTTTTTTAACGCCAACATACCTTTTTGACACTTATATTAGCTTAACTAACATTTTACATTTTTTCTTGAAATTTGCCTTTCAATATTTGAGGTGCATTGAATTTTTATTATCGTAATAGGTATTATTGGCAAGTTGCCGTTCTTCAAAAAAAATAATATCAGATATCTGATAAATTATTTTTGATGTAGGAGGTTTTGTCGTTTACGAACTTTTAAGTTTTAATCAACTTATATACTCAGCAAATATTAGAAATAATAAGCTTACCAATGAAATCGAAACCGCTACTGATTGAAACAACGCTGTGTACAATCACATAATAAATAAATAAAACACGTTGCAAATCATTACTTTTTATACTTCGCTTAGAGCTAACTGATTTTCTTTTTATTTAAATACCAAACGGAATTCTCTAATACATTCAGTGTAATTTAGTGACAATAGAGTCGACCAGTTTCAGGAAGTCATTTGTCTAAACAAATAACGATTTTAGGAATAGTGAAAAAATAATATTCCCTTCAATATTTGTTGAAATTACTTTTAATTTTATATCAAATAGGATAATATACTACGTTTGGTGACTTGAGATTCATATACAAGACTGAATAAACAATAAAAAAAATTGGCTAAATATCGATTTGGCTGAAAGTAGACATATAGATAGGACGGTTTGTAACCGGTCGACTTTATTGTTGTTATGAATAGGTAGTTGCTATGGGCCTGTCAGCGCAGTGTAACCCAAAGTATATAAAAACATGAGATTGAAAATGCAATTTATATTTTACAACCCGTTTCAATTAACCTATGCAAATTAAGGACGGCACCTTCCTTGGGTCTCCCGTTCAAAAATGTTGGTAATTAAAAAAAAACGTTATCTCTAACATCGTAGCTAATCATAACCATAGTCGGCAGTACACATTTCTGTCAGCAGCTTGATCTGATTAAAATTTGAATTTATTTTTGGATAGCGATGAAGTCGTCGCCGCCTATATTTTACTCAGATAATAATTATTAATTAAGTATCAAAAAAAAAAATAATAATAATCGTGATAACTTTACTTTTTTAATAAATAAACGTTTATTAATACTCCTTTATCATTAATTTCAATCATCTAAAAAATTTTAAATGATTAATGTAGAATAAATATCTGAAAAATCGCCAGTACTCTGTATGATTAATCTCCAGTAATTTAATAAATATTGAATGTATTTATTTATTATTAATCATAACCATGTTTATATTAGTCACATAATAATGGTTAGTTTTATGATTAGGACAAACTTAATCTGTATTAGTGAATAAATAGACTGAAGTTATAACAGAATGTTATTAATGCTTAATTCAACTTTCATTGATTAAATTATTCGTTAACTATTGATCAAAACAAATTTTGCACAACATTAGTTTGATATGATTCAACTAGTATAAATTCTAATTTAATTTCTCTATGAACTCTTATCATATATTATTATATGGATTGGACTAAAATTGAGTCGAACGTATCAGAAATGACCTTTCTTAGTAAGTTAAGCTTTATTAATAGTTTTAACTTCTATTGTAAGTGTTTTTATAATATATTGTATGTACATTTCCTGGAAAATTAACGAACATTATACTCACTGACTATGTTTTTCTAATATCGTCGATTCAGCTATAGAGAAGATATTATAAAATCTATATTATATAACATGTACTATATATTATCAACATAATATACTCGGTTAATGTTTGTTATATTATTTCAAAACACAAATTTATATAAAAGCCCAAATTGTATATAAATTAAAACAACAAAAACGTACCTAAGTCAGGTTCCAAGGTGTCTATCAAACCGATTTTTTTTTGGGAGGGGGGGGGGTTTCTTGTTGATCATAGTATCAATTATGCTCTATAGAGACTAAAAATCGAGTTTATAGTTTTTAAAGGTGTGTCACGGGCATTTTTTTCTTCATTTATGTTTTTTAAGATATGTAACATATCTTTTATTAAATGAATAAAGCATCAACCTCTTTACTCTTAGCACTTTATATAAATATTTTATTTTATACTCGTACAATAGATACGTCAGAAAGTGACTCTAAAATAGTAAGATTTTATTAAATTTTCGCCATTATTCAGATAGAAATAACTTTAAAAGTTATGTGACTAGAAAAATGTAAAGAACTTTTGCCTATTTAAAAATTTGCAGTCAGTTTTTTGCCTTTTAATAAATATAGCTTTTTCTGTTCCCCATATAAATTTACTAAATTTACATGACTATTGGTTTAGTTAGTAATTAATAATATTAGCTGGCTCAACGACAATTAATACGTGGCCTATAAAACGTAACGCAATCTTATCACATATTATGATAATAGTATATGTATTTAAGCTTATCACCATAGCCGAAACAATAGCTATAAACATTTCTATTGGATCAGGCCAAATCATAAACGCAACTAGTCCGTAGGGGGGGGGGGTGAAATATTCTTTAAAGAGAGCTATTTTTAAGAGGCTGCATCAATCTATTTCTCTGTCACAAAATGAAAGGCCATTTTTATATTTGAATTGACATAGATTGCTAGCCCAATAATAATAGCCTTCGAAAATATAAAAATATTTGTATGCTTCACACATTTTTTTTTTGTAATACTGTTGTCAAATTATTTTGGTGCATTAGGTCAAACCGCATTATAATATTATGCCATAAGTGGCCTGACCCTATGGTAGTCTAGTATGTTATCAGTAACTTAAAGACTTGGGGTGGCAGAGCGTGCACTGACTGTCGTTGTATTGACAAACGACGTACTTGGTCGTTATTAAATTTACCGTCAAAATAATAATAAAACAACAACGGCCCAGCTGTGACTTATAGCCTTTTACCTGATGTGTATCTCGATCCATGGCGTTGGTCAAGATCCATTCTCTGACTTGCTCGTGCTTGTCGGCCAATACATACAGCGATTGGGGCAGCGGCACGTTGGTAGGGAAATCAGTCCCTTGCAAGTCTGTGTCGTCGACCATTTCGTTTTGCCCTTCCGCTATGGCGTCCGTTATATCCAAATAATGGTTCAAGAACACAAACGCTTCCGCAAACCGTTTTCCGTCCTGCACATAAAACACAATGACAAATGACTAACAAAAATTATATAAAATTACACAGCGCCAAAACGGCAAGCACGGAATTTGTATATTTTGTGTCATAAAGAGAAAACGTTCTTTGGACTTGTGTGGTGCGAAAAGGCAAAACTATATACACCGAAAACGAAAATATTATCCATAAAACGCAGAAAGAAATATTAGTCACGTATGGAAAATAAAGTATTATGTTCTTTCGTACATCACCTTATGAAATGCTACCGTACGATTGATAATCGAGTAAGCAGAAATAGATAAAATGGTAATGGCAAATATTGGAAATACATTCTTTGTTTGAACAGTGCTTATTTTTCTACGAAACAAATATACGATCAAAATAATAACATATAAGTCTTTAAAAAATTTTTGTTTTGTCGACTTTAAATAAAAACTTTTTTTTTTTTTTGTAACCTGCTCGTGTCAGTTTACTTGTGAAAACGCTTACAGTCTAAAATTATGTCCTACTGTACTTCAATGATTTATAAAAGGAATCGTCTATTGATTAAGGCTTTCGGTATTGTACAATACATATGTGACAGAATACCGGTTTAGATTATCATAATTCATAAGCAATTCAGAAACACTGATTGAAGAAATAATCGAATTATAATGTTACAATATTAATGTAATAGAAGACAAATTATAAATATGATTATAAACATGTTTTATGTTTGTTTATTTTTGGCAGTTTTTAAATTAAATTGCTATTGTTTTTCTTTGAAAATAATAAAATGAGATGTAATTTAATTATTGTAGTTTCGGTAAATAAAAAAAAAAAACATTTCATTCAATGTTCTTATTAAAAGTAGTGGTTATCTAAATAAGGAACAAACAAATAAGTGTAATAACTATATAAACAGTGCGATCGCTCAACATATTTATTATTATTGAGTTAAAACAAAAATTATTTAACCTAGAAAGTTTGATAGTGTTAGATATATATTATATTATCATTTTAACGTTTCGAACGAATTTCAAATAAACTTAAGTCGTTTGATAAAAAAAAAAAGTGTATACGCGTTCAAAGTTTGTTCGACCTACTAAACTGCATCACAAGTTTTCTTACAAATTATTTTTTTTTCTCCATTGAAAGTTGATACTCTTTTCTCTCAAATTTTTATTATTATTATTACTTTTTTTTTGTTCACATAAATAAATATATTGTAAGTGATTATAAGTTCGAGATAAACTCTTAAGTCGTTAAACAGATATGTTTTTTCTTCTTCTTAATATTTGTTATGCGCGTTTGTGCTTTAACTCACACCAGAAGAAAAGTTTTTATTTAAAAAAAAAAATATATACACCCAAAATTTAATCGTTGTTCCCATAGAGTTGAATAAAATGATTGTTATCAGCACAAATCGTAGAGAGATTTAAAATCTATGAAAATTGTTAGCGCCGTAAATTCGTCGAAATTTATACTTGTAGTGTTCTCGTTTGCCTTATGGAAACCGTAACTCGTAATATTGATATTAATATGTTTCTCGAGGTTAACCGGAAGATCCGTTGGGACAGGTTTGGCATCTGGTGTTGGTAAACCTTTGTACTTAATCCGCCAGGAAACATCGGCCGATGTAACACTGTAAGAAAGCGATTTAGGTACCTATATTTGTACCCAAGAGGTGCATTTCCAATTTTATCTTAGATGGGAATAACCTCAACCCTTGAAGAATGACAACTCAAAACGATATGGATACTAATATGGCAGTACATGTGGTACTCGGCAATTCTTACTGGGGTGTGGGGATTTGGTTTAAGTACACTTAAATGTATGTTTTAGCAGCCGTTATCTGTTTGTCCGGTTTAGACGGTTCGACGGTTTTCATACAAACGAAATTGCAATACATCTTGACACCGTAATGAGATCTGTCGCGGGAAATACAAAATCTACGCCTACACAATAGCTGTCCGCCGAACAAATATAAATCCACCAAATGCACTCTGAATGGAAATCTACCCACACAGCGACGTCGTAAACGTCAGTTAATAACCAATACAGCGTATATCAACTGGTTAATTAAAAAAGTTTAACTCACATTGCAAAAAAACTTTACTCATCCACTCTTGTATCGCACGGACGCAACTGGTATAAATTTATGATACTCTCATTGTGTGCCCTGTGAGTATAAGGCTCTACAAATATTCGCTGTTGAGCGTATGTGCATTAAGAATAGGTATCCATATTCTGTGCACACTGGGGAATCCTCCAGTTCCCAAATCCTCTCAAGAAATTTAGTTTCTTTTTTTTTTACAAGATATTCCCCACTTGGATTCTACTAGAGTCCCCCAGAGATTTCGGTTAGACTTTCAAATGGACATAGAACAAGACGGTCAGTTTGTTATCCTATCTCTGGTATTTCACCACCAACGGGCTCTCAGCCATTAAATAGTGATTGATCTGTTTAATGTAACAATTTATAGTAGAATATTTTTTTAAATGGATATCTAATACTACATGACACTATACTGTGAATTTCTTATATAAAAAACTTACATCATATATTGTGGAGGAATGTCCAAAGCGCGGTGTAACAACAGTAGCTTTGGGGGTCTAAGACAACTCGGTATTGATTTTAGACTAGTCTCCCAATTTTTTCGTTGTTAAATTTAATAAAATAATTATTATAAAAAAAATCAGTTCGGGTGTAACTGTAAAGCTTATAGAGTATAAACAACTACAAGACTGGAATCAGAGCGTTAAATGGGTTGCCCAACAACACATCGAACTTAAAAGTAGAAATTATTCGTTTACCCCATGCATTTATAAAATATTTTGCATCAGTTTCCTAAGTATACCTATAGTCATCCTGATAACAAATTATTAAATTGATATTTCATAGGTATTCTAAAAACGTTTTAAATCATTATCTTGGCCATAAAGAATTGTATACAGCAGTTTAACGGAATGTTAACTATAAATTAACAATTTTTACTATTTATTTAAATAGGAATACAATTTTAATTTGAGCTGCATGGGTTATTATGGTATTCATACAGTGTGCATAATATAATAATTTCATATTATTTTTCTTGTTGAAAACAGCTAAGTCTCAGACGTATACAGTACAATATTTTTTTTTAAAACTACTTAATATAATGTAAAAAAAATAATTATACCGCTTAACTTAGATAATCCGCCAAAAACCGGATAATTCAGCTTTTTGTATTCCGGATATTTCTATCGCTAATAACACGTTTGACTCCTCAAACCTAGCTATGGAACGACCAAGCTGTGACCTAGCTATTTTTTAACCATAAAAACAAATTATAATTTAAATTATTGTCTACGTATGTAACCATATACACATATACAAGTTGTTTTACACTGTTATTGTTATTCTATTAAAATTATTATTATTAGGTACTATTAAGGAAGAGCATTCACCTATTAATTTCAAACAAGATGAACTATATGATAATAATACATGTCAGCGACCGGGTTTAATAATAATAATAATAATACAATAAAAATCGGTCGACGTGGATCGTTTTTGTGTAATTTTGAAAGCGATTAGTCACAAGTATAACAATCACCGAGGCAGCGGGTATGGCGCACAAACTGTACAACGTGCCGGCGGTGGTGGTTGTGGTGGTGAATGAAAAATAAGTACAATTTATATTATCAAATCCCACAACGGGTCGTCTTATTGAAAACACAGTTGCGTTGCGGTCGTAACGCGTCAAATTATTGTTCAGACAAGGAATTATTGCCCAGATATTATTTACACTGACGGGGTTGCCGCCGTTTGACTCGCATGCGAAAGTGGTAATTTGTTTGCATAAGTATTTCTTTTTTTTTTTTTGTTTCAAATTATTTATAACGCTATAATATTATGTTTCGCGCAATATTTTCAAACAACCAAAAGGTCGGTCGGCCAGCGAATATCAGAAGTTTTGCGCGTAAGCAACCGCACAACTTCTTTAAAGTTTAATATAATGTATATTACTATTTTGCTCCCGTGCAGGTAACACCGATCGTAGTATGAACGCAAGTAATGTTACACAACTCTTGTTTTCCCCAATCTATTATTTTCCATTAGACGGGCTGTAGTTTTGTGTTGGCAGTTAGCAAATCTACTATGGGTATGTAGTATGTATGTGCCGCATAGCACAGCTTAACCCACAAATCCGTTCGTTCAAGAAAAAACCATGTATATTGTAATTGTTTAAATGCAAATTCCAAAAAAACAAATTTTGCCATTTGGCGGACTAATTTTTTTTTTCAGTTTAGTTTTGAAATATTATATTATTCTTAAATATTTATTGCAATAAAATGAACATAAAATATTTAATATTATTATTATAAATCCAGTTTGATTGCAATGTGACACGCTAACAGACTTTTCCTTATGGAACGGCAATTGGAAAATAGTTTTAAATGATTAAATGAAAATGTTTGAGGAAAAATATTCTATGAATTTAAAGTTTTCATTAGAAAAATAATATATCCAATACAATGTAATTAAAAGAAATATTTCCAAGATATTTTAACACCACTTTGTATAAAAATGAATTTTGATTCATCGAATCTCTAGGCAAAAGTTAAATACTGTTGTTTTTACAACAGCCATTTTGACAATACTGTTAAAACGCTTTTTTTTCTATGCTATCGTTTTTGCTATAATAATCGCCTCAGTCTTAATGATAGTAATTCTTTGATTTATATATATGAAGGGGCTTTGCGCTACAAGGGTTAAATAACCAACGTTACTGCTTTTGTCAGTTTGGAAAAAATGTAATCGATATTCATTCAAGTCAAGCGATTTATTTCGTTATGTTGTAAGTAATCATGAGGATTAGTAAAATAGTATATTAAGGTTATCACCTTACAATTTGTTCACCACACATGGTGTAACATAAGTGATTATTATGCCAAATACCTATATATATAATTACTTCAGGCATCCCTCTGCTGTCCGTGAGTTCACTCTAGTTCAGACCAGTTCAGTCAATATTTTAACATCAAAAACCAAATTAGTGAAACAAAAAAGTGCCATAGTTTTGTTGTTGATATTTTAGAGATAAGTTGAAGATTGGAACCGCTTCTTTGAAATAACAACAAAATTATTGAAGAGAGTAGTTGTTTATGTTTGTATATCTTTTGCCTAAACACACCACTAGGGTTTTGTACAATAACCGGTGGTAATATTTCAAAATCGAAAAAAAGTGATATCTCTCAAGCTGCCATTTAGCATTTCGAGTGATACCAATCGCCCCGTATTGCAACAACATAGATTTATTGAAAACAATATATTGGGTATACCACGCCAAATCGTTAACCATTTGACTTTTCCATTTTTTTATTTGGCTGACATCTTTTTACGCTAGAACCCATACAAAATACATCGGAGCGGTACTAGCGATGAAGTACAAACTAACAAAAGTATATATCAGCACAACAAATGTGTTATCAGTTAGTAATACTTAGATCAGTACATAAGAAAAAACATATATGACACATTTCAAAAGTCCATACCTCGTGCCCGGTTGGAAATAAAAAATTCAAGGATGTTTTTTTTCGATTAGAATTAAGAGCGAAACAATTTAGCTAAAGTCAAATGTTGTACGATTTGATCACGTACATCCCAAATAATATATTTATGCGGGTCGATTGGCCCAGCCAATTTCTAGGACGATTTTATTCATTTTTATTTTTTGTAGAATTATTTTCGACCCAGAGTGACATACTCGAGTTGATAAACAACTGCCAATCAAATGTGGAATTAAAATAATTTTATAATGCAGATAGCATATAAAAAAAATGCAATTGTATAAGAAATTGGTTTGGTTTATCAACCGATGCATTTAATATGAGATATAATATACATTAGATATGTATATACGACAAGTTATAGTTTATAAGCAAAATTGGAAAAAAAATCTGTAATGTCTTATGCTCACCTGTGCGGCCACTCCGGCTTCGTAGTATGCCTTGTCGGCGGGTATCACGTCCGTGTATCTCAAAAGAGCTACCAAATGTTTCACCACCAAAGCGCTTAGTGACGAAATCGGACTGAAAGCGCATCGCATACCGTACAAATGGGATATAAACATGTATTTTTCAAATTCTTTACCGCAATCCGGATCCGTTTGCTTGGTGCTCTCCATCTGGAAACAAATTTTACAATATATGTATATCTATTACATAAAACACAGCAATATTAAAATGTTTTCCCTTCCGTTCTTGTCCTGTTTCTGCGGTTACTTTTACGGGCGTTTAATTTACATAATGCTCCTAGCCGGTGGCTCGAATCCAAAAAAAAAAAAAAACATTACCGGTATAACCGACGGCTGGTAAGGGTTTTCAGTTTATTCGTGCCTAGACCCAAAATGCTGTACATTTTTAATAAGACACAAAACCGCAACTCGTTTGACTTTTGTTGTTGTCGTTTAAAAAAGCTCCTGCTTAAAAAAAAAACCGCTGACTTCTTATTTCAATTGTATCACCCAAATAGCCGTAGTAGTTTTGCGAAACGGTGTAACAGTTGGCACCATTTTTTATGCATAAAAACAAAATTAAATACATATAACAATACAACGCAACGGTGCAATCAAGGAAAAAGGACAGTAGGACAATGTACAAATTCTATCTTGCTCATTTGGTTGGGTTTTCAAAAATATTGCAAATGACATTAGAGCTAACGTTACCCCGGGCTTTGGGTGTGTGCTATGTACTGAAGTTCTCTCTTGTCTCTTGTCAGAATGTAAGTCATCAAAGCTGTGTGTTTGCACATAGAGTGCACATTAACATCGCTATGGTCTATGAACCTAAATATTACTAATATTATTAGTATCACACATCTGCATATTATATTATAGTTGGTGTGATTTAAAAAAGTTAACCTAAAATTTAGTTTCTTAAAAACCCGATAAAATAATTTGTTGTCAGTCAGTGTTATTTATTTAAATTATTTATGATTAAATATGAATAAATAAATAAAAAATATGAAAACTTAATGTTTCAAAATTAAAATTTCAATTGATCACACTTATTACCTTGCGGTTATAATATGATGGCTTACAAAATTTAGGTTAACTTATAGGACAGGGATTATGATTATGGACTTACATAAAATTAGCGTATAACTACTTATTACCACTTAATAATAATGTGATAAAATTCCATTTGATTTTTTTTTTCCTCTAACAAAAAAATCATCGCCATGCAAATTTAATAACAGTTCTTAAAATAAAAATACGCCACTACTTTAAGAAAAAAAATTAAAACGCAATTTCTTTTATCGACAAGAAATTTTTTTTAGAAATTTACGGAAATGATGTGTTTAGTGTATTTCAAAAGTTCATCAATCTAAACTTGAAACACTTGGGAACTTGTAAGAGCTTATAAACATAAAATATTTTTAATAGGCCAACTTAACGGACGTTCATAATAGTCGCTATATTAGTATTTAATATTTTTACAGTATAAAGCTGTTTATCTAAGTAAAATATATTTGATGAAAATGTAGAAATAAAACCCAACACCAAAAAGATAGGTTGCTTTCGGATTTCAGATTTATTGAAAACCGAAAACCGGTAAACAATTTTTAGTCAAAGTTTTTTTTAAATTTTCATCAAAACATTTCACTTTCGTAAGCAGCTTATATTGTAAACATATTTAATACTTATAAGATTTTAATAGCGTTTTTTTGTTGTTGTGAAAATCCGTATTTTTGGATTTCTATCATTAATAAATACCGTTTTATTTACCCAAGGCTCAGTAAAAGTAACTAACATTATACTTAGCGCAAAAATGTTTATAAATGTTAAGGATTTAGTTTTATACTTATTATTGTTGTATATAAAATTTGTGAGTAGATCGAATATTCCGCTTCGTCTTCATTTTTTTATTTTGTATATTTTTTTATTCAAATTTAGATGACCCCGTTTTGCGATTGGGGTCCATTTGAAATACATATTTTGTAACAAAGGATTTGAATTATTTATAAACTCGGGGAGTTCAAAGCTCCCCAGAGAACGTGTATGTTGGTCTGTTTAGAAAGATGTTTTTTTTTAGAGCACTCAACGCTTTTCTTGTTAACGAGGCAGTCTATGCAATAACCGCTTATAGCTCTAGTATTTGCGGTCCGTTGTATGACCATTAGAATTTATTCGTTGTAGGCATTTTTTTAGTAGGTGCCTCTAACAGTGTTTAGGTATGTATATAAATGTACAGAGCTATACAACGATAAACTATACCATTACATAATATGTTATAAAATGAGTATTAGTGTAAACAACTAATCAATTTTAGGAGACCTAAGAAAAAAAAATTAAATATATACGTTACCAGATAATATCCAAAAGTTGATAAAGTTCTAAAAAAAGGTAAATGTGTAGGAATAATTTTATAAAATATAATATTGCAAAATAACACAAACAAGAATGTTTAAAAAAAAAAAAATATGCAATTGTTTTACTATACAAAATTTCAATTTTTTTTGAGAGAAAACAAGAGTTGGACGTTAAAACAAATAACTCGGGAAAAAAATAATTTTTGGTTGTTTTTTAAATAAATTGTTTTATGTGAAAGAAACGAACAACAACAAATTGTATCAATTATATTTTTTAGCCTAAGATAAATTAAGTAATCGTTTAAATGACATTATACAACTCTCATATATTATGTCCTACACTTCACCAGTCTAAACCCTAATAGTTTGGTTAGGTATTATTAAAACAATATCTACCTGAACAATAAAATGTTTTATAAAAAAAAAAGTACTATTATGTTGTGTTCGGTATTGAAACCACGAAAATCGTTATCAGACTAACAACAATGTTAGAATAAAGGTTTATGTAACTAAAATTAATTTTTGTAATTCAGAATTAAAATTTGTATTGTAATAGTTGCTTATGAAATATTTGCATTCAGTAAAAAACGTAACCTTAAAAATGTTTACCTTAAGTAATTATTATGAATATTTTTTTTTTAAATTTATGACTTTATTAAGTCAACATGTTATAGTTTATATTTAAAAAAACAGTCAGGGCTATGAGAATCTCCAAAAACCGTACAAATTTAAGAATACTTACAAAAACTTAAAGATTCTTCTTATAAGTTTATAAGACAAAGTATTATAAAAAAAGTACTTCTGTGAAAATCATAAGTATCTTAATGAATCACTTTACACTTCAGCGAGAAACTTTCGACACACAACTTTCAAAGTTTGCGACGCGTTAAGTTCAATGTAAGTCATGTCGAATAATAATAATTACTCCTCATCGTTTTATAAAGTAAACTAATTATTTACGTTTCTTAACTTTCGTCTAAAGTCTCAAAACAAAAAATAAAAGGCAGATTGAGTTATACAATATTTAATATAGGTAGCATAATATTTAATGTGATTTCTGGCTCATAAAAAATACAGTATGGGTCTTTGACAGGTTTATATACAAAATGTATGAAGATATGTCCAATTCTCATGGTCGATACTGTATATCATAAAAATACATAAAAGTTTACATAACAGTAGACAAAACAAGAAAGCGACTTGGAGAAAGAGGTAGACTGAAGAAGAATGAATGCATGTTATAAACCAAGACATGAAGATGTGTGCAGCGAATAAAGAAACAAGTTACAGCTGGAGAGAGTTTTTGGCTGACAAAGGCCAACTGTATGAGATAAGCCGTAGAGGAACATATTCGTGTTTAATCTTATAAATGGTCATTATGTATGAAAAAAACTTTACCAATGTGTAGAACATGTCCCTAAGCTTGGCCCAATAATCGTAGCATTCAGGTTTGTCCATCTCTCTTTTGCAAAACATGTCCAACGCTATACGCCTATAAATGTTGAAGTTCTGAGGGAAAGCGGGAACTTCTTGTTGAGTGTATAGGTTTAGCGCGTCAAACACTTTACCCTCCTGGAAAATATACATTTTTTTTTTTACTTGAGTAGTTTTATATGCATCGCTTGTTTTCGTTTTAAATTGAACGCAATATATAAAAATAATGAATTTTGACGTTTCGTTTAATTATGTTGTGGCTGCTTTTATTTTTTCCAGCAAGCCGAGATTAAATAAAAATGGCTTAACACAAATTACAATACATCAAAATAAAAAAGATAAAAAAAAGTGAACACCCCTACTGGTCGGGACATAGCGAAATGGAGCATAGTGAGGTCGGTGTAGTCACAGGATTGTTAGAATTATTGTAACTAGAGTGACTACAATATCAATCTTAAAAAACGCTTCATTGCAAATCTGTAGATAGTAAAAAGATTGAAGTAAAACAATAATTTGCAGTATTAGTATGGTAGATACAATTCGAGTAGATTGTTTGTCTATCCTAATATTTGTTCTTGTTATTACCCATAAAACGTAATTAACAATGTAATGGAAATATATTGACTCTTGATTCAATCACAGTTAACAACCTAGAAATTTGCAACGATCGAAGTATAGGTTTATTTAGTTTTTAGGGGTCTTTTTAATAAAAAAAAATTGTATTTTAGATTTTAAGAAAATTTTATATGTTTACACTCTACTTTAGATTTACCTTCAGCTAATTTTCAAACCACTGAGTCTTAAAAACTTCGCTTGAAAAAGAGAAATGAATAAAAGTTTTAATGATATTTTTTTTGTTTATCGATATTACTTTATTTAAAGAATATTCCACATAAATTTGGAACTAATTTAATTATTTTTTTTAAATATTATATAGCACGTTTTAGTTTTCTTAAAGATATGAATTTTTTTGGTGTTTTTATCGATTTTTTAAATTTTTGGCCCAATAAATTACCTTTTAACTATGATTTCAGATCTATAGACCTGCGCTAGACATCAGTTTAGCAGAAGATATTCTGGGCCCAAACACAAAAACTAAAAACACATCCTCGTAAAAGCTATACCATCTTATATGCGCGTCGAAGCTAAAATAAAAAATAATAAATAATAAATACCGCAGTTTGTTGTCGTTTATTATAATAAATTATTAATTATTATACTGCGTAGAATGCTATGAAAAACAAAAGAAACGACTTTAATTGCTATTATCATTTTCATTCCTGACCATGTACAATAATATTCGAGTGTGTTACGGATGCGATTTATGTTAATTGAATTGGACGGCGTCCAGTGTAAGCAATTCAGCTTCATCGAGGAATATAAGCTTACACAAGATAAAAAAAATGCTTCAAAATTATTATAGTTGGTAGGTGTATATAGGTAATGTATTTAAACATTTTTTTTTTAGGAAAACTTAAACACACAGTATGGGTAGTATTCGTTTACCCACTGTATAACGATAAAAAATATAGTTCAGGCTGTAAACATTAATTTTAACGCCATGTCGTTTTATCTTTACCATTGTATACTTATAATTATTTTTGACCATAAAATATTAAACATGACAACTTGTTACAGAATGATCACGTAATGGAAATACATTTTCCTAAACATGGCCATTGTGGCGAGGTGGACTTAGTGGAAATACAATGTTGAATGAGCTGGTATGACACATTTCTTTTTTTTTTAACTTAATTAAATTTTGTTTTACCCTAAGTAAGTCGGTAGCGTAAAGAGCAACGTATTTGTGGAGTACGACTTGTCCGTGTGGCCGAGCAATGTCTAAACACTTTGACCACTTGCCCTGTGCCGACAGCATGTCTAGTGCTTCCTCCGCGTCCATGTCGGCCAACAACTGTTCGGGTTTACCTTCTCTCTTCAAATAATCTTTGTAACATTCCGATACATACCTCTCAAATCTGAAAACGCAATATCGTCCCACAATTTATTATCATCTACAATACAACGTATGGTCGCACACACACACACATACATACAGCAGATGCACACAAAAACGATATTATTGGTTATTTCTATTATAACGAAAGTTTGAAAAGCTGAGTAAAAAAAAAAATAAATAATCACTTACGAAGAATCAAGTTCCGACGCGAGTTTTCTTGCTTTTGACCAATAGTCACCCGCAATAAAAGCATCTATCGCCTCTTTCATCATATCCGCGCACACAAAAACTTTGGCGGCCAGCAAATACTCTTCATAATCCATCAAACGAGGTCCTGGTAAGTCGTTAAATACAGTTTGTTTTATTATAATTACTCGTTTTCGAACTTACGTTTATTTTTAGAAAATATTTAAATAGTAAATATGTGTTTCTTAAGTACTACATTTGAAGTTAGTTTTATTGATTATTCAAAATAACAATACAATTAATCAACTATATTAAGTATTAACGACTTAGAATTCAATAATATATTAGACTACATAATGATATAGAACTTATTTTTAAATTCCAACCTTTAGTTTGGCTTTTTTCATGTAGGATCTATAATAAAATCCTTTATTATGTTTAATATTTCTGTTAGCCAAATGAAAACGTGTTGATAATAATAAATAAACGGCTTATGGATATTATTATAATCGACAGTTTGTGAAATGCCGGCTTGACATAAATAATAAATAAAACATAATATTATTCATTGTATACTTTGCGGCTCACCTAAATTTTTGGCCGCATCAGTGCACTCATCGCCGTCCAAATACTTTAATGTCAGCCGCGTCGCTTCGTTGAGCGTTTTCAAAATAATCCGATCGTCCTTACAGTTATTCGAAGTGACCTTTAACCGACATACGGTATAATGTATATAACTATTATGGTATAAATAAATATTTTTTATTCATTTGTTTTTATTTGTAAAATAATTTATCGTGCACAAATTTCAACGTTACGCGTCATCGAGCGAATCCCGTGCCTCTAAAGTGTGTTATTCGTTGTTAACAAAAAACCAAACTACTTAGTACAGTGTCTAGACAATATATATATATAAGTCCGTGGGGAAATATGCATATTTTATCCCCAAGTTAACAAAATTTTAGCGCACAAACAGAACACTCACATATACACTCCAGTCTCTACTTCTAGGTAGTGTATAAAATGTTTATAAAAAAAAAAGATTAGTTACTTAATGATTCATTATGATATTAAAATGGAACATATTTAATTTAATTTTTTTTTATAATGACGTAAAACAAACTCATTTGACAATTTGTTTTGTTATATAAAGTAAAAAGTACTATATTCTAGAAGTTATAACTCCTGAGGACTTTAATCGAAATTCCTGAAATTTGTACAGCATTAAAATTATATGTACTTGGAACGTCCGGTAAAAGTTTAGTAACGGACACTTTTTTTTACTAACAGCTAGGTATAAGAAGTTGAATTTTTCAAATTTTTCGTTTAGCAGGATTTTGAAGCATTTAGAAAATCTACTCACACACATGCTGTTCACATTAGGTGATTATGCATGGAATGGATTTCGCATTGAGAAAACACAATTGTTCCTTGTCTAAGTAATTTTTTCGATAAATTTAAGACAATATTAGTTTCATGGTTAAACGAATAAATCACAGCAAATCTGACTGTTCGTTTGATATCATTGTACAAAGTGTGGAGGAGTCTCACGGACAAGTAGGTATAAGAATGTCCCAGACACTGATGAAAATTAACACGGGGAAGATACTTATTACAGAATAACGAAGCGGTCATCTTCTCGTTGATATATCAGTATATATTCGCTATTATAGCTAATCATTATTATTCTCTGTTGTTTAACTATGGTCATTATGAATATAACCAACGAGAAGACGGCCGCCACGTTTTTGTTTCACATTGCAGCTGCCCCTTCTGATTTAATCTATTATACGGTGTAAGTACTAGGCCAGGAAGAATTTTGCGTGAACCGACATTATTGTCATTACTTTGAGTAGACAGTCGACGGCTGTTTTGAATTCTCCGTTCTGTTCCCATTGGCTGGCCTGTACGAATAGACTGTTTATGTCTCTGGTCACCCGAGCTCCACACTCTCTGTCGTATTCCTCTTGCATCTTGTCCAATTTCGCCGGCAAGTATTCACGGCACGACTTGAGCGCCTCCACCCACATCCCTTTCTCCTGTAGCACCATTATCGTTTTTCAAACGGTTGTTTTTCGCAAGTGAAAAGATAAAAAAAAAAAGATAGTTTTTCCAAACACAATGCGATCCAGAGGAATAATGAATGTATACGGGTTTTATTTATTTGTTTGCATTTTTTTTTCGAATACGAGTAATCCGTTTTCGCATAAAAAAAAAAAAAATACACAAATACCTACCTTTTATGTTACACGAAAAGAAAAATCGAATATGGAAATATATCGAATTGTAAGGGGAGGGGGGCTCTATCCTATTATGAAATAAATCTGATTTATTTTCACGTTTTATAAATCTGTCGAAAAGTGCTGCAATATATACAACAATTATTTTTGATTTTTTCAATGAGACGAGTTCGAGGGAGGAAATACAAAGGCAAACTGGAGTCCTATTATACCATAGAGATACAGTAACTATATTTTTTTACACTCTTATTAAATCACAAATGTTATATATTCTCATTTATTCCACTCTTTAAAAATGGGTCGAAACTTCAAACTTTTAAAATACATTATATCGGCTTGAACTGATTCGATGTTCAACCCACATTTATAAATTTCACAACTATCATAATTCCAATTGGATATGGAAATATTTTCCCAAAAAACAACATAGTATGTGAGTGTAAAATAAAAGCGACGGATCCGTCAATATCAAATCATAAAAAAACATGACCGGTTATACCTGATTGCTGTAACGGCATGGCGTTGTATTTGTTAATGCTTCTGGTAAGTAATTAAAGGTTTTTTTTTAAATTTTAGTTTATTTTAGGGTTACGGCAAAAACTCATTAATAATTATATTTAACCTGTAGTCGACTGCACGCTGTAGTTATGATTTGCGCAACGTTATACCATTAAAAAGCGCCGTGGAGTTTGATAAAAAATGCATTACCGAATATACACCTTTGTATATTATTATACATTTAATGTTCGCATTATTACAGTGTGTATGTATTTTGTTTAAAAAACTAAATTAATTTTTCAGCGTATGGGATCAATTTTGAGTATTGTATGCCAGGTCTACCTACGCATAATATTATGGTGATTGATTTTACAAAGTTTTATTATACGGCGAATAAAAAATTGAAAGTTTTGACGTCAGTGTTTTGAACTCTAGTTGCCTACGAAAAGTACAGTACAATATTACATTTTAATGGTATTAAAAAATATATTTATAGGTACACAATGTGAATGAAAAAAATATTAAAAAATTAAATAATTGATTAGACAAGTAGGGGACACCTTATATTATACGCGTAATATGTACATATTATGTAGTCCACACGGAATTAATAATATAAACTTGAATAAAATATTATACCGGTTTGAAATCAGGGATGCCAACAGGATCTCCAATGTTAACCAATTTGTATTATCAGTACTTTCATTTTTTTAACTTTTACACTTAAAGCAAAATCTAGTTAAGACTTTAAACTATGAATGTTGTAATTTACAAATACAATCCAAGTTAACTGTTTTTTATATATAAATCTAAAGGCGATTAAGGGGCGCATATCTTTTACGCTCTACGTATGCAGCCATGCCAATACCTAGTAATTTATAGTTTTTTTATTTTATAAATTGAGACTATTGGATAAATATATCAGTTATAATTTACATCTATACGAGCAAAAAATAGCGTTTTTACCTGATATTGCTTTACAATGAGCTCCGGATTGTGACAACGTAACAATAAAGCTTCAAACTTTGGATAATTAGCGGCTTCAAATTCAATTTTTGCGCGTGACATTAGCACATCGGTTATAGAAGTCTTGTCATGTTGTTCGGCAACTCGTTCGGCATTGTCCCAGTCTTGATTGTGTGTATACCTAACATTGTTTGCGTCTCAGTATGAATAGCGCCACTTATGTCACTAAGTGTTATCAGTTATTATAAACTTACATCAAAACGGCTTCTTTTGGTTTAAAACCGGCTACGAAATGAACTTCCGCCTCTTGAAACTTCCCATCATCTTCGAGCACGAGGGCGTATTTGTAATGGACGTCGGCTAAACGTTCAGCGTTGCCTGACCGAGCCAATTCAAACGCAAAATCAAACTGCAATAATTCCCCACAAGTAGGCGTTTATCTTAATCCTAATTACCCTAAAAATGTTTAACCACATCAACCTGCAACCTTATATGTGACTATTACCTGATAGCTGTCATTGGCGTGGTCGATGCATTCGTTCAATAGGCCCAGGCGGTTGAGTAACTTGACAGCGGACTCGCCACCCAAAGATTTAGCCCACAAAAATGCCACTTGCTCAGCTGCACGTTCCCCACCGTTGTTTTTTGCAATCTACAACATAATAATATAAGTTTAACCACGTTTAATTTAACAATATCGTCCTAAGTACACACCGCGTATGATAAATATGTTCGTTAGAGCAAAATTAATTATGACGTTGTAGTCTGGTAATACAAACATCAAGGGCTGCCCGTCAGCAGATGATAAATATTGTGTTATGGACACATGTTTGGGTTTTTATATTTTTTTTTAATAATTATGGCTTCACTGATATTTTTTTACTCTAGTATCGAGCTCTACTCAGCACACGTTTCATGTTTAACTTTGGTGTCAATTTGCTATTGGTTTTATAATAATAGTAATTTTTGTATGTCTATCAGCGTCTCGTACATATTCTTATTGTCTCAGCCGAGTTTTTTTATCAGTCTAGTTTTGATAGAGATTTTAAAATTTCCAGAATGATGATATTTTATTTTTAATACAATCATACCGCATACGATTGATTTCTGAATTTTTATCCAAAGATAGGTAAAAAATATTTATGACTTACTCATAAATATATATATATAAATAAAAGCTCAGTAAAAACCCTAAAACAGATAGCTAGGGGCGACAACTGTGATCTAGAAGTAGCAATAAATTTGAAAGTGATAATAACATATTCAAGAAAAGCGCATCGATGCGAATCTGCCGATAGCGTTAAAAAATAATGTATGCACAATAAAATCGTTTCCCAACTTTAACCAGAGAATCACGTTCAGGCGATTTTCGCGGAAGCTATTTCTATCATGTTTAAATTTATTACCCAATACCAAGTACCTTCGAACCAATATTCAAATTCTAGATTGTTTTTTTTACACTCTATGTTTGATTTTCAGTAGATAGTATATTAGTACCAACGTTCTCGTTGAAAATTGTAACGACTCGAAATTTAAAAAAAAAATGTTATCAACTTTAAGTAATTTAAAACTATTATTTATCAAAAATGCAAACTAAAATTTATCTTAAAACCATAATTCAAAAACTCCTTAAACTTCCCAGTAAAATAATATTAGGCTAATCAATTTTCTTTATTAATTTATATATATATATGTATAAATAGAGTTAAGATAATTCACATCAACACTTTGAGAGTATCAGACCCTATGTTTACTAAAATTCAAACATTATATTTGAATATTTAAAGGGACAAATTTACCAATATAACTAACATCAAAACATACGTTTAGGTTATTGCTCAGAAAACTTTCCGGGAATCATTTCAGATAATGTAAAAAATGTTTTGTATAATATTATGACGCTATAAACTGAAACTTTGAATACTAAAAAAAAACTCTACCTATTACGCATAAAATAATATATTCAAGTCAGAAAGAATTTAAGCCAACTAAAACAATACTAACACAAATAACATTTTATATTATTATGTTTCTGAGTACACTCAGAACTTCTGGTATATACTTTATATAAATAATATATATAAATATATAAAGATAAAATATATTTATATCTTGTTTAGTAGCATATTAATATCCACGTGAAAATATTAAAAATAACATTTGAAAAGTATGATTAATTGCTCGGCCAGCCAGGGCGGGTGTTCGGCGATACTTTGCCAAGACAAAATTAATCACAAACCAATGGCGGCGGCGGCAGGCAATATTCACTACCGAAGTATGAAACATTAATTTCCATAGCTTGGAACCACCAAGTGAAAATAATAATATAGTATTAGTGTACATGCGCTAACCTTGTAGGCTTCTTCCCACATGTCCAACGACCGGTACATTTTTACAGCCAACTTCCATTCGCCGGCTTGGACGTAGTGATTTTCGGCCGCCCTGTAGTTTCCTTGAGTTTCACATTCTTGAGCCAAATGCACAAAGGTGGTGCTCACTAAATCACTGTGGTATTTGCTGACCAACGTCATCATCTATAACAATTGCGTTTATACCCATTTGTCCCAATTGCCGAATTTCACCAGTGCAAATGCTTTGCACAACCAGGATAAAATTATTATTTTTACAATGTTCAGTTGGGCGACAATAATATATTTTTTTAATATTTTTATTATAGTTAATTTTACATTGAAAAATATCATATTTAATAATAATAATATATTGTCGCACTATTTTGATAAGAAATCAAAATATAATACATGCGCAGATTTAGATGTATGTATAAATGTTTGTTTGGTAGAAAATACTACAACTAAATATAATTTGTGCAAAACTTAAAAATATTTCTTCAGTTTTTAAGAGCTCTAGGAATTTTTATTGAAACGTTTACAGTATTGCTTATACATGCAATTATATGCATATATATATGCGATTTATACATAATTATATACCTACGGACATTAATTAACAACAAGTAATTTAACAACAAAATGTATTATTTTAAATCATACGATTATTCAATATATATCACGTATTACATATAAAAATTTAAAAGTAAGACATAGTAAGTAATTTTAATGAAAATTAACGCTAAAAATAAAATGACAGAACATCAAGAATCCGCATCATCCAAGAAAATCATAGTTTCTCAGGTAGTCTTCATGATTTTTACATAATATAAAAATTGCTAACAACATTACAAATTTTGTGTCAGAAATATTTATTTTATTACTATTTTTTTTCCTGTAAAAATACTGTAGCTCAAGTCATAACGAGCAACAGGGTACAAGGAAGTTTTGTTGTAACTTGTTTTTGATCTAAAGGTATGTTTGTCAATCAAACATTTTTTTCTTTGTATTTGTCATTAAAATTATTCAAAGTGATATTGAAGCACATTAACCAACATCACTCGTAAGAAAAAACAGCAAAAATTTAATACTTTCTCTTGTTCAGTTTTATAAAAATAATTTGCCCTCTTTTGGTTCTCATAGTTTTAATTATTGAGAAAATTCCGGTAGCGGTTACCTAACCCTTTCCTGGTTGCACCACTGCTTATCTATTTCCACTATGCAAAACCCAAACCGTACCTCATCGTATCTGTGGAAGTTTTTGTACATGCTAATGGCTAGATCTACTTTGTCTAGTGCCACATAAAGTTTTTCCGCTTCCTTAAGGCGACCTGTGTTCTCTAAAGTTTTACCATATGCTTCCAGATCCACGTTCAAGTCGGCCAACGCCGGATTGTTTTTCACCAACTTATGCGCTCTCTCCCAGTTACCTGAAAGTAAAATTAATGTTTTATCATTGAGAGTGTTGCCACAATAAATTTAATTATTTTATCACATAAAACGCATGTATACCACCGGCGGCTAACGTGTTACATAATGTGGAACATTGATTTTACTTACCAGCTTCCAAATGGAGCTGTATGACCTCTTTGTACATGCCACACTCCATGTACAGTTTTTCAGCTGTTTTGACATCGTTGACACTTTTAAAATGATTTGCTAAATGAGCCCCGTACTTGGTCACTAGCGATTTGTCTTCGATCACCTATAATATTTTCCAAGTAGAACTCATTAATAAGAAATGAAAAAATTAGCTCAAAAGGGGAGGAGAAATGAGGAAAGAAGGGTGATATGTTTTTTCGTATCGAATTTCAACTTAGCGGACATAAACAAGCGTCGAAAGAAAGTATACTTAAAATGTTCCTTTTATTTTTATCCCGGAACATATTTTTTTTGCTAACCAAGTGGGCTTACCTGCATAATTTGCATCGCCTTCTTCCATTGTTTGGCGCCTATTGCAGCCTCTAACGCCTTAACCGTATTCCCAGCTTCAATATAATGAGATATAGCCGCATCCTGTTGCTTTTGTGACACTAAGTAATCACCCCATTTTTCTTCCAACGTTACCACCTCTGAAAATTATATTATGAAAAATTACGACACTGTAACATCAACATGTCTTACTTTACATTGAATTTATAAATACAACTACTTCATCAGATCAGTTATACAAATTAGAAATCTAATCCATATGAAAAACTGTATTTTTTAGTATTATGCTAAGTTCAATAATACTAACAATTACAGAAAATAAAACATAATATTATTGTTTAATGATTTAATTTTTTAATTAATTATTATTGGATTTAACAAATTGCTTATAAGTACAAGTTATCCACTATTTATTATTAATTTTATTATTAACAATATATCTCTTTTTCCTGGAAAATACTTCTAGCATGTTACGTTTGGTAAGGTTAGGTTAGTTTGCTATGAAAAATTATACAAAAACATATTTTATTTTCAACTGTTAAATAGTTCTATGTGTGTTAAATTGTAATGTATAAAAAAATGAATAGACTAATCTGTCTATATTTGACATAACACTTTTTCATAATTAATTAAAAGGGGTAAAAAAATAAGCGTCAAGTATAAAATATTATTATGTTACAAACCAGCAGGAGAAACAAATCTAGCTAATTCCACAGCTTTTATGTATATATTTCCTTTACAGTAAAACTCTATTGCTTTTTCAGGCTTTCCTTGTGATTGGCAAAGTTCTCCAGCGACGTGATAGTTTTTCAAGCGCAGTAATCCTGATAACACGTTTTCTATTACATATTCGTCTGCCATGAGGTCCGGGTCATCTTGTACTAGCCTGTAAACATTTTAATGATTTAGTAGCCGTCGACTCGAAAACAAATAAAAATAAAAACTCGAGTTCATAGATTTATAAAAAATGGAGAATTTTATCAATTTTTATATTTTTTAAAATAATAAAATCGAAATTCATCAATAGCTCGATTATCAGTTAAGTTACAGAAAAAAGTGTTCTAATTTGTTTTAACTAGAAATTAAATATTATACTGAATGATATTTAATAATATTTTTATAAATTTCTATTCGAATATATTTAAGTAAAATAGAATATATTGATCAGGTAAATTTTAGTAAAGTCGATAAATTAAAGAATTGGTATAAAATAGTGCCTGTGATTTTAAACGTGTATTTTAAATACACGTGTACACGAAACCCGTGTAATTAACATATACGTGTATATACACGTGTATTTAAAAAAATTTATTTTGTCAAACATGTTAGTTTGAGTTAACTTATTTACACAATTATACTTGTGTTTGAGTTCGTATAATTAAATAAACGTGAAACACGTGTAATCGAATACACGTGTAATAGGGACCTCTAGTATAAAACTAAGTAACTTTTTTAAAAGAACAACAAACAATTATTTAACTAAGTATAATAGACAAAAGGGTTATTATTTAAAAACTAAACATATTTTCATATCTCGTTGTGACTTTTTTAATAATAATCTTAAGAAACCAACACATATGTATTTGAAAAATATAATTTGAACGTATGATATATTTTAGAATTTAACTTATTAAACAATTTAAGTCACCCTTTGAACTTATAAAATTGTGTTATTTTATTTGTTTTTCGGCGAAAAACAAACCATTTATCTATAAATGCACACTTATGTTTACTAAGTATTACATTGTCTTTCCAGTTTCCACTTAACCATGCGTTTTTGGTGCGTCTGCCTAACTATAATGCTTATAGTACCCATAGAGCGTTATATATTTAATAGCAGTTGATAATGTATTGTCTAACGAATTGTCTACAATTTATAAGACTTTATAGTTTATAAAAATAATAACTTATTATGGAATGGAAGTCACGTTTCATTCCAACGTGCGCTCATATATTTTACTTAAGTTGTAGGGAAAAAAAGTGCAATTCAAACCTATATAAATACAGTCGCCCCATTAACCTTTTAAATCTAGTACACTTTTTGTTCGCTGTAATTGTGATTTGTGTGCTCAATAAACAAATAGCTTAGCCAGAAAAAATATACACTTGCAACTAGTTACCGTATCAATTAGTCCTACCTACTATTTGTGTAGTGCTATTTTAAGAAAATATAATATTAACTTTATGCTAACAATTTTAATTTGTATTCTTTATTTCTATTAGCTTCATTTTTTTTAAGAGTACATTTTGGACTTAAAGTCTGAATAGTGAATAAACTGAATATAGATTAAATATTATCATATAGTGATTATAAAATTTAACAATCGTGTTTAAAGAAAGAGTAAACTGTATACTGGATGGTTTTAATAATATATTCTTACTTAGCTGCTCGGCTAAAGAGACCGGCTTTCATGTACAGTTCAAGGGCAGGCCTCTTGTCACCTTCCATTTCTTTAATTTCAGCCGCTCTTTCTTCCTGATGCGTCTCTAGTAGCCAAAGATGATACCGAGATTTCAAATCGTTTACATCCGGTCGATTTTTTAACTCAGCCAAACGTATGGCTAATAATAACATCAAATAAGTAATTAAGTATTGTAAAAAACTAAACACATCTGAAAAAATGATCGTGTTCGTCAATACCATTTTCCCATTTGTGCAATGATAAGTACATTTGAATGGCTTTGTCTACTTCGTTTTGTTCCAGGTAAATTACTTCGGCTGCTTGCAATTGTCCATTGAGCAGTGCTATGCGCGCCCAAACTTCAGGGCATTCCATTCCGTCGCAGTCTACAAAAAAAAAAAAATAAATAAAAAAAAAATAACATTTGACCGTTGCACAAATTTTCTAACCTACGTTGTCTATAAATTAAAATTGGCTCTTAAAGTTTTAAAATGTTATTGGAATTATATAGGGGAATTCGTCAGGTGACAAACGACACGCGTTTTAAGTACACTGATGGTACTCGCAGAACTTGAACATCCGCTTTACAGGACAGTAACAATTAAAAGGTTTGATTTATAAGAAAAACAAACAATATATTGTTGGGTTTGAAAAAAAAGAAGATTCCCAAACCGTAACAATGAACATACACTAAGATAAGGAAAACGACGCAGTAAAAACAATCCCGGTGAATGATAATTTAACGCACCCGAATTGCCAAGTCATGTTTTCTAAATGATCATTAATCAACGTTAATTAGATATAAGTTTTTCAATTCCGTTTTTAAATATTTTCTTTTTAACATTTGTAATGTATTTTCTATAAACGATCAGCTTCGCGTTGGTCAGCGAAATTGTTTTTTTTTTGGCTTTGTCAGCAACATCAGATAAACGGTCACCAAAACGGTATAAGTATAGGCAATAATCGTGCGATGCGTCATTTTTGTTGTTTAGATATAGCATAATAGTATATCACCGTAAATATGGCAAAAAAACTATGAATTCTCGACCTTCGATATATTATATGATATATATGGTGATTCTTTTATTATGGGCCACTCAATATCTCACAGGGTTTATTTAATAATCTAATTTTTTTTTGTAGTGTTTTTATATAACGTGATCTCAATTTTCCACAAATTATTATGTTCTTATCCCCCTAACCTACCCCCCTCCTTCCAAAACTAGTTTTTTTGATAGCAACTGAACAGTCAAAATATTCTTAATATAAAAAGTTTAAAACATATATACGTTACCATTTAATTTTCAAAAGTTTCTATCAAAAAACTGAGTTGGGAGGGTTGTAAAAACAAAAAAAATTGTAAAAAATTGAGATAATGAGTGGCCCATTATAAAAGAATCACCCTGTATATTATATATTTACTGCCAATAATATTATATACTTTAAAAAATCGGCGAAGTATAAATAATAAGCCGTGTGCTTATGTTTGCACAGTTGACTTGTGGACTTACAATGGTCATTAAAACAGCCGTTTTTATTGGACTTATAGGAGTATTTATTATTTTTATTATTGTTTAACATATCTGTCGATATATTCGTTTTTAAGTGTGAACAAATAAACTTTAATGTGCTTACAATAGACTAGAATAAATTAAAAAACCAACATCATAGTACAAAAATAAAAAAAAATAAAATCATCAGAGTCGTTTACAATAAATATTGCACCAGTTACATAGTTCTAACTATTTTTCATCAATACCAAAATACAATTATTTTGGTATGAATAAATTATATTGGTATGAAAGATTAATTGAGACTATTTTTACCAAACCATATATTCATAATATACAACATCTCGATTGCAACAAAAACATAGATATTATTTATCGTTTTAAATGAGTTTGTAAATTGCAAATTAAGTACATATAATTTATTTAGCCACGATATTCGTTAATATTATTTTATACTTTGTAGATAATAAAAATCTTCCTAATTAGTAGGTACATAAATATTCAGAATTAAATTAGTAATAAATATTGAACTCGGCGTACCGCATTATAAAATGTTTATCTTAAAAATAATGTATAACAAATAAAACGCTCTATATATTTGGATTAATGCGGTTAACCCTCCTAACAACAACAAAAGAAAGGCCACGTCCGGGTTAAAACTTAAACCAAGGCTGACCCATTATATATATTATGTATATATATTTTTTTAAATCTTATTTATTGCGAATACATATGAGAAAAGCACTTAACTGTAACCAAAAGCGAATAAACTTGAATTTATATAACTCAAAGCAAGGCAAAAAATTACTTTTATATTTAGGTTGTATTTTGTACATTTTGTATGGGTTAGTCTACACGGCTTCCGCATATTATTATGACCAAATTATTTTTACTAACAATGATAAAAAAATGTTTTGTATATTTAAACAATGTTATTAATTCGTTCACAAAGAATGGATTTTATTATAGTTATTTTTAACTTAATAATAACTATCTATATATTATTAATTATATTTGTATAATTTACCATTTGTATATATTTTTTATGGTTCATACATTAAACCGTGTTCTTTGTCGTAGGAAATGATCGGCAAATGCGAGTTCACTCTTTATGAGTCCGAGTTACAGAAATAAATATATTTCTACTTAATAAGTATGAATTCAATGGTTTCCATGTCGACTAATGTATTGGGATACTTGCACGGCGTTCTGATTGAAACGTGTTACAATATACAACAGGAAATTGCAGACTGATTGCGATGTACACACAGGAAAAGTGTATAATAAATATTATATATGTAATGTTAATGCTGATATTTTTACAGTTCATTTGTATCTTAATCAACCCTATAAATTGTTAATAATTGTATATGTCGCGACCGGGCGATCCACCAAAGACCGATTATAAATTAGAAAATATATACGCTCCAGACTTGTTGTATACTTGTATTAAATATAAACGAGTCTAACATACCGAGATAACGCGCCGCAATACAGTTTTATTTTTCAGAAAAGTCTTGTCCGTTCTATGTTTATTTTATTGTTTTATTAGAAATAATTAACAGTCTGTCTACGGATAACCGACTAAGACCACGGTAATATGGACGTTTAACACGGATCCGTCATTTGAAATTTCGAAGAAAACGTTAAAGCGTTTTCCATCCAGCAAGATTCTAAATACATTGATTAAAAAAAAATGTATTTCTTCTACTGTGTCGACATAGTGGTCAAAACACTATAAAACGGTAGGAAACAATATAATTACTAATTGTAATTCATTAATTATTAGGAGTTTGGACTATAAAGTCAACGCGTGAGACATTAAAATATTTAAAAATTGTTAAAAATACAAATATTTAATGCGGGTAAAATTTGACGCGTGAAAAATCGATTCGTCCATGCGGATTTTTCTAGTTCATTAAAAAAAGGGCGTAGGTTTTTTTTACTTTAAGCCTCTTAGCAGAGTACCTTTGACGTATACGATTTCCCGCTATTCATCGAAGCTAACAAAAAAATTAATCGACTATTTTGGTTCCCTGTGAATTTGATTGTCACGATATTATTGATAATAATAACAGCGAAGATAATTATTATTGTAATAATTTCCCAAAGTTGTTCGATAAACGTTTAAAACTAATTGTTGTTTTTTATTTTTATAATTAAAATTGTGTATATTATGATCTTCGGTTCAGCGTTGTGTACGCCGAAGAAAAGGCGAGTTTTGAAATAATTAAAATTCAGTAGCTAACCCAAAATGGGCTGTGAACCGAAAAATCTACACTGGACGGAAGCGTGGAGTTGAAACGTTGTATGGTATTACTGGAAATGTCTGCTAGAGAAACTTAATAACGCCGTCAGTAAAACAAACATTAGCGGATAAAATGGCTGTATGCGTGGGAACATTGAAGCGACTGCAGTTGAGCTTTGTCTGGGTGTTATTTTTATTCCTCTTTTCTCGCTCACCGCTCGTCGTTCTTTTGTTTTCGTAGCCGTTTTATATTTAATTGCAACCAACGGATAATATTCTAAGATGGGAAAATCTCATCAAGCGACCCGCAACAACAGTGTTGGCTGTTTTTGAAAAATAAACGCCAACGAAATTCCGGCGCAACGTTCACCAGAGACCACCAACTCACTCGGGCAAGTTTCCGGATAACTCATACTTACTGTTGTATTATGTATATTTGCCCTAGCACTTGGCCACCAAGATCAGACACGGACTTAGTTTAGAAACTAATATGCCAGCTGAGAATTGCAGAAGTGTGGCAATGGGCTGCCCTCGCTACTGACTTCTACTTCTCGTAAGCAACGGTTCACACTAACTTGGTCGGATGCCGAGGTCTTTAATTATTTCACGGCAAATAATCATTGACGCGACTAGCAATAATGAACTCTAAACTAGACAAAATAAAAATAAAAAAACCACCGCAAACTTGTACAGCGTTAACGTTTGTAGAGCTCGTGCGTATTGTACCCTTCAGCAACTCGGATGCATAAATGGCAACAAACTTCAGTCGCATGCTAACCCTCTATTTAAATTCAACACAAAACACTTTCAGCCAACAAACATGGGTACGGGTTACTGTAAAATTATATTCTTAACTAATTAACATTTGTTTGTCGAACAACGCGCAGCTGTAATGAATGGCTCCACTTCGATTTCAATAGCACATGCATAATATATAAATTCCACGACCAACTTTACCATAACACAACAGACATAATGTAAAAGTAGTGTTCTACTTGTAAAACGCACGAAACTCTTGGTTGTGTAATTAGAATATATACAAAATGATAGTAACCCTCGGTAAAATTTCTTGCAAAATCAAAATAAACAAAACCAGAAATTTTAAAAAATAAGAACATATTATTATGCTATAAATACTGCTGTTGAGCGTCCACGATTATTTAGATACATACATGTATTGATTGTTGTAACTCATGTGATTTGCATAGCATTTTTTTAAAAATAATAAATACATTTTGTTACAAAACCGTTATTTTTTCCAAAATTGTCTTGAAATAGAACTCTAGGAAACAATTTTCTCGCCACTAATAAAGACAACATTTACCTTCAATGACCATTAACGCGGTTTAATATATTATTTCAACCTATAACGTATATTAATAATAAAAAATGATTATGTTCAAAATAATAATAACAATTTTCCTTGATAAAATAATAATTTGAATACTGATTTTTGAGAAAATGGTATTTGTGATAGTCCACTATAATATTATTATCTTCTTTCAGTCTAAATTTAAAACCTTTAATCCCAAAACTATAGTAAAAAAAGTAAAATAAAGAAAATGTTTTGGTCTCTGCTAGGAATAAGAGTCTAGGATGTTATTTTGGATTGTCAACGTTTATCTATAGTACTTTATCTAAATAGAATATATCACAATACAAATTTGTATTTAATTCGACAATTTTTCAAAAAATTTCAGAGCACCTTAAACAAAAGTTGAAAATATGTATAGTTTGGTGGTTTTCTTAAATTTGAAGGGAAAGTGATGAACTTTTTGAACATATGGCACAATAAAAACACATTTCGGTTACGAATTTTGGTCTATAGACGTGTTACATAAATAAATCGATTCAGCGGCTTAAAGCACCAGACAAAAACGTAGAATAAGAAAATAAATGAAAATGTATCATTTTTAAATACAATACCCTTTTAATGAAGCTAAATAAGTCATTTTTGTAATTCTCGTTCTTTAACTTTCATTGGTTTCACATGAATAATTTTCGGATATATCCGCGTCAATGGTTGTTAACCAACGTTTCCGACCCTTTGCAGGGTCTATCTTCAGGGTCATGTCACGACTGTACACGGCAGCGGAACAGTCGTGACATGACCCTGAAGATAGACCCTGCAAAGGGTCCGAAACGTTGGTTAACAATCATTGACGCGGATATATCCGAAAATTATTCATATGATATTTCAATCCGCGAAAGCTTCAACACATTCATTTCATTGGTTTAATTAATAATTAAATATACTTCAGGTTATCACCAATATTGATATTATTCTAAGATCACATCTATGGGACGTTTTAATATTAATATTTCGAAATGCTGCTTTCTAGGGTAGTCAAATAGTATAAGATAGAAAATTACATTTACAGATAGAGAATACATTTAAACTTAAGTAAACACCATAAAAATAATAAGAATAGGGTTCAGATGATGAAAATGCATAATATGTTATCTATTAATCCAATGTAACCTTAAATACAAATTGGTTTTATGCTTTACAGAATCGAATAATGTTAATTTTAGTAACATTTTAATTATGAAGTGCATACAAATATTTTGACCTTATTCTTACAAGTCTCCACTGTTTTAAAACATTGTTATTTAAGAAAAAAAAGAATCTCATATTATTGACAATATTAATAAAAAATAAACATACATGCAATATTTTTATTGGTTCCATAAAACAGAGAGGAATTTTCGATATTCTGCAAATATCTGGTACGCAATAAAACATTAGAATAGGGTTGTATAACATTCAACTATAACAATACAAAAATGCTGTGTTCAGATAAATAAATCAGGCAGAATAAATAGCTTACAATTTTTAGATGTAAAAAAAGAACGTGCGTACTTTCAATTACTGTTCAGTTTGCAAAAAAAAAAAATGTAATGTACCTAAACAAAAAGCCAAACTATATAGGTAAACAGACAATGGTTTCGTCTCAGTGAATTTTATATTATTTCAAAATCAAATAAATAATGTTATGTAACTTAACTGTTTTCTTTTGAGTACTTTTCGGCGAGTTTGTTTGTTTCTTGCAAATACCAAGCCTTACAGTGGTCTCCAACACCGGCATAACATCTTGCGGCCACGGTTAAGTTCATGAGTTGAAGTCCAATGTCGGCTAGGTTCTGCCACATGCCATCCACCTCGTACTGATGATCATCGCTGTCTTCTAAGCTTTCTAAGTATAATATTGCTCGACCAAAGTCACTGTCGTGCACAGCCGTACCAAATTCGACAAGCCGTTCGTCGAGGTCGTATGTGCATTGTCTTTCGCCGTCTTGGCTATAAATCTGCAAAGTAAATTAACTTCAAATTGTATAAAGTCACTGGTCTGCGAATATAAAATAACCAAAATAAGTGTTTCATCATTGACATTATATACAATTCTACAGTACTCTAGTATAATACAGTATTCTATAAATACTCAAAAACTATTATTTCGATATATTCAGTACCTTATTAATATTTATAGTCACAGACTTCCGATTTGTATCCAAAGCGGAAATGATGATAGCTGATATATTATATAAGTGTAATATAATATTTTATGTTTTGTATTTTTAGTCATATAAAATAACGTTTTAAATTATGTTTAATCTCTAAATCAGTTTTCATTAATTATCATCAATAATTATATTTTAATAATAAGTGTATTTGAATTCAATGTGTTTGTCTTGACACTTTTTTAAATAATTATCAATGTAAACGTTATAACTACATCATTAAAGCATCTAAAATTGTACCATGCTAAGTACAACCAATAATACATATACATAACCTTACACTGAGCTTAATGTTATTTTATACAGTTTATATTTTATTTTATTTTTAGTACAAAGATAAAAAATGTAATGTAAACAAGATAATATTCTTCATTGAGGGCCTATTAATACGTATACAACGTACAAAATACTAATTAATACTTCCCTTAATTGATTTCGTCTTGGTTTCTATAAGTTCCCAACCAATAGTTATTCTTGTAATAATTGTTTTTTCAATTTTGGTATGATCTTACAGTAACGAATATTTTAATATTTTTACAAATTAATAGGCACATTTTCGTATATTTTTAAACTTTTAATTTTAATCTGTGCATAATCATTACAGAAAAACCTAAAATTTTTGCTTAATATACTTTTTTGTACTACAATCCCCTTTTTTTAAATTATAACGTTAATAAAATATGCAGTAAATAATGAAATAAAACAAATTTCATAACGGTAAATTCTTGTTATTTTAGTTATAAAAAAAAAAGGAAAACTTACCTTACTATTTGATAATTTTTATCGAAACAACGAGTTTTGCTCTAATGGAGTACTTATAAAAATCTTATGTGTTTATAAAAACCAACGGTATAATTTAACAGTTCCTAGTAAAAAATAATGAGTTAGCTGATATCCGATGCATATAGTTTTATATATAATACTGAAATGTAATACTTTTTAAAACGCCATTAGAGTAAGTAATAAAGATTTATTTACTTTTTTATTTGGTATTGTTTAAAAAGTGATAAAAAAACGTTGGTAAAAAGGATATTATACTCTCTTTTCAGATTTAATTATTTATAAGAGTATTAGTTTGTAATATTATTTCTTATAACTTAGGACAAAGAACCAGCTACATCATTTTAATTCTCGTGGTTGTCGTGTGGCGCATTGTAAAAGTAAAAACTAATTTTAAAAAGAATAGGTTAATTCTTATTCTAATTTGTTGAAAATCATTATAACAAAAATTTCATAATATGTATGCATCTTCAAACTGATGGTTTTGACTAGTGAGTTCATAATGTAGTCATTTGTATGAGGTAAAATAAAGATGTATTAAACAGTGGAACATTTACATTATTTTGTGTATTAATTTTTTGTTACTTAAATTTATAATACAATAATTATTTTTAAGCACCCATTATCTATAATGTACTGTTTGGACAAAAGAAAATAACATAATTAGAACGGCGAAGATATAAAAAAAAAAAATAAGCAAAATCGCCAATTGCGCTTTGCGTGTAACGAATTTTTGATTACTTCAAACCCGTTCCAACAATACCTTTCCTTTGTATATAGTGTATAATATGTAATTTGTATCGAGTTAGCAAAGTGGTCGGTACGAAGGGAATGGTACGTGTAACCCATTACCCCTTAGATTAGCCATTAAATTGCAACCCTCACTGAAACATTATACGGTAATACTTTGGAGAATATTTTCTTATCTAGTTTTTGCTTATCTTTTCAAAAACAAAAACAAATAATATAATAAGCATTCGCAAAGGTTATTTGAATATTTTTATTTTGATCCTATAACAGTGCAGGTTTTTAGTTTGATGACATAAAAAAAATTACATTTTTTGTACAGTGTATTTGTATTACAGTGTGTGGCGATCTGTTTCCTTTGTACAAAAGGTTTGTACTAGGTGGTTTTTCGGTTTGATTATTTTTATAAGCCGAATTTATACAGTCGCTTAAGTAAACCTAGCGGTATATTGTATTTATTTAGAGAAAAAAAAAGTTGCATATGGTAGACATAATATAGAATATATTATGTGGAGCTTTCGAGATGCCTATGAGGTCGCAGTTTTAATGGGGATTTCATATTCCAATTTATATTGCTGCTGTACATGAAAAGGTGGCTAATGCCCAAACAAAAAAAACAAAAAAATAAGCAATCTGTTCATAGGATTTACTTGTGTAAGTGACTGAATGTTATGATGTATACGTATTTGTATATTTAAAAAAAAAATAAAAAAAAGCTCTTTGCTCCATAGTCAATTGATTACACGATAATCGGTCTCATAAAAATGTACTCCAAAATAAATAATTAAGCGTTGCGTTTAGTTGGTTTATTTACTTTTATTGGTCCAAACTATAATATTTAATAAAAAAAACGTATTATTTAAACAATTATTAAAGGTTAAGAACGATATGAAAAATTATACAGTAGGAATTCAACATTTCAAAAATGTCAGAGAGTTATTTTAAATTACATTAGGGCATACACTTAAGAGCCTTCCAGGCATAATGTCTCTAATATAAAAATAGCTTTTCAATTTTCAGTGCAATAAATAATAACAATAGATGGCAGGAAATATTACCAATATCTACTTATCGTTTTTTTAACACTTTTTATGAAAAATACTTGAAATATTTGACGAAAAAGTTTTTGAAATTACGTTCTTATAGTCTTACTGACCGAAGGACAATCTGTGCTAACGTGGTCAAACACTAAAAATTATCTAACAATTAAGTTAATTTTTCTAAATAATTACCTTCCAACAGTTCCAAGAATGAAAACAAGATTATGTTTCTTTAAAATGAATAAAACAAGTCACAGTGTACTTAAAGTCTAAAGGCTAAAATTATAAAACATGCAACATGCTTAGCCTGCTGGCTCCTGAATAATGATTATTTGTGTTCTATAATCTCCTTGCAATTTATGACGATAGTATAGTGACTATACTATAGTCTTAATTATAATATGTTCTGGCCAAAACGTTGGCATGAAGACGACAACTCGTTATATATACATTTAAAGTAGACGCGCTACTTTCGTGTCGTTATTTTGTGTCGTTTTCCAGCTGGAAGGCCAAGGCTAAATCATGTTCCATGCTTAAAAATCTGTATTAATGCTCATTGAGCTATGCAATAAGTTTATATTATACTTATTGAAGGTGATACGGTTGAAAAATATTGATAGGAATTCTTTTTGAATAATATCAGACTTTTTGTGAAACAAAGTATGTCATTTATATATTTAAAGTTTAAAAGACCAAAAACAAAAAGAACTTTAAACATTTATTTAATAGGGCATTTAATTTGAATTTTGAATAGCAATGATAAAAAGACTAGACTGAAATTGTGAATTGAATATTATTTTTTTAAAAACTGCATACATTAGGGCATTGCAGTAAAATTAAAATATTTATAAAATATTACTTTTTTTTTATTGTCAATTAAGAAGCGACTGACATTAAAATAAGTACGATATAATAGTATTTAATAATAAAAGTCGTAGTTAAAAACGCAATATAGCGAAAAATGTATTAAAAATAAAATTAAAGCGGAACTAAGATGTTACTGCATTAACGCGGACAATAATTAAAGTATAATAATTTTTTTTATTCCTATTTACCTTATTTATAAATTAGAAAATATTTAGACAGGTTACATAGGTGTCACTATTGTGATCAAATATGATAGATTACTATTAAAACTTAAATCTATGTCCAGAAATGCGCATTTTATTTTTGGGTAAATTTATATTGTATTGCCGCGGTTTTTAAAAAATGCATCTGCCCATCAAGTCCGACTTTATAGACGTGTTGCGGTTTGGTTGGAGCAGAATAACTGCTTGCCGGTTCGTAGGACGAGGGTTGATTTTTTTTCCCCAGACGGTTGCCGGCCTATAGAGATAGGAGCAGCAATGACCGAGAAAAAAACCAGTGACTGCTGTGTAATACCACTATCCCCTTTGCCTACACGTTCATACCGTTCCCTAGAGGGGACGCGTGTGTGTATATTATATATATATATAAGAAAAAAAATAATGTACTTACATTTTTAAAAGAAAATTTAAATAGTTATCTAGTTGATGAAATTCACACGAGGAAAGCACCTGAATATTGCAGTAGGAACAGAAAATTTCGATTTCGATTTTTTAGCAATTACCGAGGTTTTAAATCAATCCGCGGTGAGATAGTTTTCATTTATTTTTATTCAGTTATACCAGTTATGTTATATTTTATACGAATTGCTTAATATAATATTATGTTTCAAACATAATATTTGATTTTAATTTAAAACGCCTTATTCAAATTTCTTTTTCTACTTTTGGATTCAATTTTAGTACAATAAATTATATAAAGTAAACGTTCATCGTACTTCATGAGATATACCTGGTAAGTGTACATACGATACTGCTGCCTGACGTCTGTTAAGAAATATATAATTATACTCAAAAAGTCAAAAGCATTAGTTTATATTATGGAAAACGAAAAATATACTTTAACAAACCACTGACCTGGCCTGACAATGTAAAACATGTGAAAAAAATTGGCCTAATGGAATGTAAAGAGCATCTGAAATGGCAAAGGACCCCTAAGTTCATTAACACTGGTATGGGTGATGAATTAAACTGCACATTATAACACATAGTGACAGGAAACGAGCGCGTAGGTAGAAAATGTAACAAAATGATTAATATACTATGTTATACAAATAACAATTAATTAATCTTCTTGGGAAATTTTGTTGATTCTAGAGAGAAAACTAATTTTTTGAAAACTATTTTCATATAAACTGCCAAAAAACTAAGGAAAACAGTAATTTGATAATTGTATTACAAAAAAAAATACTATGTACTTTAATCTGATCAAAAACTTTTTAAATGTTTGCTTTAATGCATATAATGTAAATTTTAAATTACGACTTTGAATACCTAAATCCTTCTTAGGTTTTTAACAAATTTTATCAGATTGCTAGATCCCTATTGTATATGATAAGACGTTTAACAGTGTGTATATTTTTTCGGCGTCGTTGAGCAAACTACCTAAGGTATTTAGCGATTCAGGTAAAATTGTGTTTTTATTATATTACAAGCTTTAAAGTTTCAAATTTACTAGGTAGCTATAATTTCGAGAAAAAGGGTCATATGAGTTGCGTTGCTCTGGCTTCGTCCAGGGGGGGGGGGGCTATACAATATGTCAATATATCAAACTGTCTATATGCTGTTAGCTGTAATATTTGCGCACGTAGCCATCTATTCGAATAAACGTTCACTAAAACTTTTAAATCTGGACAAATTTTCCAATTTTTCTTTCCCCTAAACCTTATTTGGACTATTAAGAACATTAAAAAAAAAAATTATCCAAATCGGTCTAGCCATTCTCAAGTGATGCTTGTTCCCAGGAACAACATTTCATTTTTATAATATAAAGTAAGTAATAATTATTGAAATAAATAACTACATAGCTGCCGAGAGCTTTAACACGTTATATTATGTTCCCAACTAACAACCAATCGGTTCGAATTTCATAAAAAAAAAAATTATAAAAATAATCAGTTTACCACGACTTCGTTTTATAATTACTTACTGTGGTTTTGCCAAATGCCCTGTCAACGGATGTCACTTCTCCGGTTACTGTCAGTACGGTTACCCTGTCTGGTGTGTCAATGTTGTACCACACACAAGCTCCGTGCCGTCCTTGCGCCACAACGACGTCACTACCGATCACCCACTGTAAAACATCATTGGAACAGTTATTTTGCTGTTGTTTTTTTTCACATATCATTGCATCTTCGTCCCTACTGAATGTGTTACTATTTCAAAGTTAAAAATGTTTTTGTATTTTCTCATAAAATATTGGCGGGAACAAAATTTGAGAATCATTAAAAGTAAAAACAGTGCTGTTTTAATAATTGAAATTAGTACACGTATTAATTTCAAAACCGCATTTAATTCCTCTACGCTAACATATTATTTATAATTAAGGCACGTTGCATTAAGGCAAATATTGAATAAAAATTACAACTTAACATTAAGCTTAAATTTGTAAACTCAAATATTATAATATTAACATGGTGAAGAGGTATCAATTTTGATATTTAACTTTTTGTAAAACTTTTATAGCCCATTCAGGCCCTGTTTTTGTACAAAAATGTGTGTTATTTATTTCTTAGAGTACGTTCTTAACAGTGTTGAGCAAATTGTAATCTGATCACTTTTACAAAATGATTAAATGATTAATGATTACGAAATGTAATCATAATTACTGATAACTATTACAAAATGTAATCATGATTTCTGTTTACTTTTACAAAATGATTAAATTATTAAAGATTAATTTAATCATGATTACAGTGCTGTAATCGATTACGTAATTCAATCATAAAGTAATCGACTACGCCCAACACTGGTTCTTAAGAATACTCCGATTTTAGTTTCATAAATGTACAAGTATTGTGTAATTTATAAATTCAAAGTATTTAAACATTTTGCAAGTTAATTTTTCAATGGCCAATACACTGTGCTGTATAATGTTTAATGCTTGTTGATTGAACAACTTTAACAATTTTTATATGCAAAAATAATTATGTTTAATAGACAATATTTAAAATACAGATGATATTTCCGTCATTCTATGGAAAAAACTAAAAAGATCCAGTTGTATTATGGATGAAGCAGTTTAAATATTAAGACAGTTAATTGATTAATGCTAAGACTATATTGTGTAAATAAGTACATATTAATACATTAGGCAAACACATTATGTGCTCTTTAAATATTTGTTTTACATTAATAGCGATTTTTTACTTTTTTTTTTGTTGTAAAATTATAAATTTACCTGTACAAAAGAGCAGCCGTTCAACAAAATCTCTTTGTGACCTGTTCGGGCGTCCAAAAGTGTAAGAGTCGCACTTTTGTCTCTGTACAATAACTTGTGTCCGGTCTCATTTAATTCGAGCCAATCAATTTTCGACCCATGCCCGATTTGCAAGTCTACTACACCTATTACTAAGTCCACTAAGAAAAAAGAAAAAAAAAACCTTAACACTATATTATATCAATATAATAAATTAGTAATTGCACTATGTAATTCATTCACAATATGCATAATACGTTTAAGAATTGATAGACCATAATATGCAAATAAGTACACAACACTACTGTTCGCTAATATCTTGTTTGTACGTTTCACTACTCTTTTTTACATGCAAACGGATGTACAAAGTGTGTCTACACTCCACAATAATCCGCAAGAATGCATTTCACAAAAATGCTGTTTCGCGAAGCGTAAAAGAGAAGAATTTAAATGTAAGTTGGTTACATTTCAAAATGTATGATGTGTAAAATCCATTTTAAACGGGGATTCCGCTGAAAAATAAGAAACAAATCAAAAGGATTTCAGACAAACGATTTATTTGAATTATTTTACTCTTCAATCGTTTGTTTAGTGGATTGTATAAATAAACATTTTCGATTATAATAACAACTTTCGAAGGAGTTCTGTCTGAGGAAAAGTGAAAGAATAGTATGAATAATTAATATTTTAAAGAATATATTATGTTATATAATAATTTCTACCAAACACTTTTTTTTCGTACACTTTTTTTTCGTACACTCTATCGCATAAAACCAAAAAAAGAAAAAATAATTTGTTTTGTCAGTCCACTGAGGCTTATTAAAAGCAAAGGTGTAAGGTGATGACAGTATCAGCGACTATGTGACCACTTACTCTGCAAGAGCTGTATAGTACTCAAGGAATTATTTTATTGTTTTTAAGTAATAATTTAAACTTGTATTGTTTTTTCGTTTTAAATTTAAAACTTAGTTTGAATACCAAAATATGTTGGGTTTTGAATCAATAACTTTATACATGTGTGTTGAGATCTGTCTGAAGTAAAACTCATCTAGATTAGACTGTATTGGTCAAAATAATACATAATTAATTAGAATAATACGATAAACATTAGTTAGGAGACGAAGAGAGAAATGTTCAAAAATAATGAAAAAAAGAAAATAATAATATAAAAGACATTCCAACGTGATTCCCGACAGTGCAGCTAGACTTATATTGGCAAACGTTGATCATGTTTTTAATTTGTCAATAACTATTAATTCTATCCAAATTAGAGACGAGAAATTTTCTTACACTCGGGGATGTGATAGCAAAAACACGTTCTGCGTTCAAATGAAAACTACTGTCGAACGCGCATAAATTACACAATTTTATTCCAATTTGGTATCACCGTCAATACAATATACAATAGCAGAAAACCACTTTGCTGATTTATTTTTATTGTAAAACGACCAGCTTTCTAAGGGTTAGTTTTTATTGTTTGCGATTTATAGATAAAATGAAAGTATACTTTTTAAAATACTCTATACCTAACCTTACTTATTTTGTGTATTTGGTGTTGGTTTGTGGAGATTTTTTTTTTTTATAAAGTTTTTTTGAGATATTTTTTTTTTCTTAGACGCAGAATGTAGGTAATAGAAGCGCGCAAGGAATAATGCGAAAATACCACTTCAATAACATTCCAGGGCTTATAGGTAGTTTTTATAACTCTTAGTCTTTTAGTGTTGGTTTTAGTCATAAAACTCAATATCGTCGTATATTTCTGACGCTCACATAAAACGTGTGTATGTATCTCAATGGTGAATTCCCCCCAAAGCCCAGTCAGTGTTGGTTATCTTATTTGATAGTAAAAATGAATTTGGCGGTGTTGTGATAATGGCCCTCGAAATGTAGTTAATGGAACACAATACATGCTGTTATATATTATATATAGGTATACAGTAAATATATAAACTACAAAGACGAATAAACGTATTTTTCTATTACCAATACAAATTGTCTTTAGGTCCAGTAAGTAGGCCAGCTTTTTATTGTCCTCGTTGGAATTGAATTGTTTCCGTTCGTTCAACCGTACGCTGATCAAATGAGGATTTACGAATTCGGTTCTGAAAAAAATATAAAAAAATACAACAACCAGGCATAAGTATAACAAACAAAGCTCTAAAGATCACAGATTTCGTGTGCGGTTTTTTTCCAATAGGTTGAACGATAAAAAAAAGACACGTTCGGATAACACCACCATCTTACTGCAATATTGGCTAACTTGTAAGACCAATATGTTGCTGCTACCGTGGGTAAATAGTTTTTAAGAAAAAAAAAGGTCACCAAATGTATTATACAAGATGGTGTTGAGTAATACTTTCTTATTTATTGTGTCGAAAATTGACCTCTCTGTTGTTCGATAAAATTGTATTACAATCTAAGTAGATACGATAAAAGGTCGATTTTATATTTTTAACATTTTACAGCATTTTCAACATATTTAATACATTATTTTTAGAAAATAATCAACACAACGACAGCACTAGCAAATTGTCCAGTTTTTTTTTAATGACATGCGATTTAACATAACATTTTTTTTTGTGATTGTGGATACAAAAAATATTAACAGACCCCTTGAATTTATTGATACTCATGTATATCGTGATCAACGATAAAAGCCGTTTAAGGAAAAAGTAAAATGTTTTTGGTCTTTTATGATTTCTATGTAGAAAAGTGATTTTTATTTTTATTCGATTCGTTACTTTTAACTCGGTAGCCATATAGCTGTCTCTGTTAAGCCAGTTGTCGGTATTTTCCCCTCAGCTTAAGATTTTTCTAATGTTAATCATAATTAATGAATCTTATTTTAGAACAACGTCGTTTGTCTTTTGTTAGATTTCCGTAGCCAAAGGTGACTGCTTCCTCAGGGCACCTAATTGTTATTAATGTTTTTCACTTCCAATCAAGTCTGCACCAGACAAAGGTTGAATACGTAATTAAAAAAAAAAATCTTTTGCGTATAAAAATATCGTCGTCCGCCCAACCAAAGTCCAAACTAAGGGATGGCTATATATATAGTAGTTTCAATGTGACGCAAGTACAACGACAATAACCTGCCTGCCCAATTATCCGAAAAAATATATACGGGTTTGTATTACTTCAATACATTATGTACTAATAAAGTTGTTGTAATCAAATTAAGATAGGAGAACGTATTTTTAAATATTATAGAATATCATTACTGCTCGACTATCGAGACTTTATTTTTCACAGTGTGGTCATACTGGCTTTGTCCTACTGGTTACTTAACCAGCCATCTAAGTATATATGTATATATTATTATGAATTAATTAGTTAATCTCTAACGAAATCATTCTATTTCACGTGAGCGGCGTTTAAAATAATAATAATAATAATGCTATTATTATTATTATTGTAGTAGTTATTATAACCGCATATTAAATTACCGGACCGTCGCCAAAATTTGATCGTTGCCGTACTCGACAAGGGTCAGTTCTCCACTGTTGAAAACCATACATACACTTGGATTTTCAAAGTAAAACTTCTCGTTTCTCTCGGAATAAGGCCAAACGATTTCACTTAGCAAATTTCTTTCCATATCGCCTGCACAAAATAATCACACGAACATAGGAGAAATCATTTAATACAATTACAATTACATCTAAAATCGCTTAAAATGTGGATCATAATACTGTTGAAAAATATATTTAATTGTTTTATCTTGGAAAATTATTGATAAATCTGATAACAAGACCAAATTACCATAATTTTATTATTTTTTTCAGCGAGTATAAAAGTACTACAATAACAATATGTCTATAGAAATTTTGTATTATACTAACCCAAAAGTAACGTGTCTCTGGTTCGTCCTATTAGGTATCGATCCTCGCCCATTACACGGACATCTTCTATTTCGTGACCGTATTGTGACTTGAGTATAACGCCATGCTGTGATTGATGGTCGTCTTCGGCGCTAAGCGATTTCACCAAAACCTGACTCGGTCCCACGTAAGTCATTTCAAATTTGTTTTTCCATACCGTTCTCCTAAAGCAATGCCATAGTACGGTATAGTGCTTTCAATTTACATAAAAAGCGCTCTGTTGAGGCGAATTCAATATCGATGATAATGAGTGGAAAATAAAAAATTAATAATGCTTGGAAATATTGAAAGCAAAATTATTGCAGACAACTGTCATATAAATCCATACTTTGTATTGAACATTTAGACATCATTGTTGGCAAATGATCTTAAAGCTAACCATCAAAACAAATGTTGCAAATATGTAAAGATTACCTATACGATTAGTTAAACTATAATAATATATAAACAGCATGTAACGCATTGTTATTAAAGAAGATTCTGTTATTATTATATTTAAAAACAATCAAATCGTATAACACGTGCTAATAAGCTAATGTTCAATTTGTGTTATAGAAGTTACAGAGTATTAAGTAACAACAGCTATATATGTATATAATAAAATGGCTTATTCAAATTTAAAACGTAGTTCAACATGATAAAATGTATATGTGTCTTACTGCAATAATCCCAAATATGATGCACGACTAAGCATGTAAAATTAATTAGTTTTAAACCTCCCTTTTCCAATTACTTGGGTAGGGATAATTTTAGGAGTCTAGTCCCTAAGCTTCAGTTGTCCGAGTAATTATATAGTCAGCTCACCAATGTCTGGCATTAACCAACTTAATTAATCAAGCTGAAAACCCGCAATATGTCGTGCACACCTGGGGGTTAAAACCGGCCTTTAGTCTCCGGTCCACTTGACCAGAGTGTAGTACCGTTTTTATAAGCTAAGCGTGCATATTTGTTTGTTTAATATAATCATTTAAACGGTCGCCCGAGCTCATAAACAACAACACGGCTGATGTAAGTGTGTGAAGCATAATTTGTTCTTTAAAATTATTAAAACTGGCCATTTTTGCAGACTGAAATAATTTTTTATAATCGTAATAATATCACGTTGTTTTTTCTATTTTACTTTTATTGTAGTTATCAATAATTATAAAATATTTTAATGTGTATATTATTTACTTGATCACCGATTCGAATAGGTACATGCCGCCACAGAGCGCACCGCAGACCAAACGCGAGCCGTCTTTCTTCCATGCCAAAGTCGAAACGGTATACAAGTTGGGAACGTCCATAGTTTTCTCTTCTTCCCATATTAACTTGGATGGACTCCACGAGTACAAACGCAATCTGTATACATACATAAAAGGATTTCAGTATGGAATATGTCGTGTAAAATTTTCACTTTGAAGTAATCTATTTTTAAAAATTTCGTAAGCCAAACAAATTTCAATGGAATTTATTTTCTATGGGTATTATATATTTGACAGATGAACCGTGTTTTGGAAGAATCTGTAATATAGATTCTATATGTTTTAAATGTTTCTATTTAACTACTAGACTATTATCAGTTGTGATTTATTATCACATAAAATAAATGAATGAATAAATTATTAAATAAAGTACTTAAACACTTTTATAAATGGAGTTATCTTAGAGAGAATTATCTTAGACCGTCGTCGCAGTATAGAAATTAATTTTAACTGTATTTTACATATTTTTGAAATATTTCATAAAAATAAATATCATGCAATGTTAAAAATTTAAATATTCAATTACTGCATAGTATCAGTAAGTATGATTAATCCGATACAAACATATTAATTGTATTAATAAATTGAAATACAGTAACCAGTTAGTCTTTTAAAATTTAGTAAGTATATGATTTTTCTGTAAGAATAATTCTCAGTACCATCGTATTGCGTTTCCTTTTTCTGTTTTAGCTCCTTTTAGCTCTTACTTACGGAAACGACAACAACTTCACAAAAGTTTTCATCCAAGACTTAAGCCGGCATACCGGCATATATATTGTTCACGTAAGCTCACCCATTACGAAAGAAAACATGCTAGCACTTAAAGCTGACCCTTGGTCGAATTTCGTTTACTTATTGTGATCCCTTGTTTCCTCAAGCAGTTTTCACAATCGTGCTTACTCATCCTTGCATGTTATGATCATCTATTATTTGTACAAGTACTATCATAGTTGATCCCTCGCCTCTTCAAAACATAGTCCTCGATCCGAGGTCTTTGTTTTCAATTATCGCTCCACACAGAATGTTAGGTTAAACTTTAAAATTTCTTTGAAAATAAAATATCGATTACCTATTACATTTTTACATAGGTAAGTCTTATTAAATTGCATTCCATTATCAATTGTTTATCTTTGCACATCTCTTACGTTTATTGAACCGGACGAGATATTTGTGTTCTTCTATTCTAGATGGTTATTTTAATAGATTAAAAAAAAAAATTGACCAAACCTATTGAAACTACCAACGACAACCGCTTGTCCGCTAGGGCTGCAGCAGGCTACAGTAGATTCTTTTTGATCCGGGCATCCACCAGTCGGTGAGTAATCGAATTGTCTACTGGACCGTCCGTTTTGGTCATAAAACTGAACAGTAAAATCACAACCAGCCGCAATTATGTATCCGGAAGCCCAGCACAATGCGTACGGCGGAACCGGATGTACGACGATGCATCCCTGTAAGACAAATTAGGCATTTATTAATACACATCGGAAAGAATTACAACCGTAAATAACCGCAGTGCGTCATATATGGGTCATCTGGTCTAATTGGTTTTGTGTACAAACCGGAATACATTATTTATTCCAGAAAAATATTTATTCGAATAGCCATTGAATACAGGTAGAAATAATGATTTAACTAATGAAAATAAAACTCTGTGTTATCAAAGAGCATAATAATTCACCGCATTTGTGTAAAAAAAACTATACCTTTTAAGTATTAATATATTAAAATATATATCAAGTCCATTTCCCATTATTTCTTACCAGTTTCTATTTGATGTACGTATTTGTAACAAAAAAAAAATTACATTTTTTAATAAGAATTTTACTAAATATACCTCCGTTAAAACATTATAGTCCGTTTTAAAAAAAAGATGACTCTGTTGGTAATAAACTTGAAGATGATAAATCGCTATTGTCAAGTGATATCTTAACGTGAATCAGCAATTATTGTTTCTGTCCTAATATACACTAGATATTTCAAAGAAAACTCCCTCTAAAAAAATCTGGCTATTTCTTTCTCTAGGTCGATTATGAACTAGTCACACTCTTCTCTCTGATCCCAAAACAGGTAAGGTACCAGCTATGTAATACCATTTACGACAACAAAAGTCTAACAAAATACCGCTATTATGTGTATTAATTTGCTGGTCTTTCAAACTATTAGTCTAAAGTTTCGATTTGAAGTGTTTTCCTAAAGTAAGGTTAAAATTATAATTACGCGTAAAAAATACTTTAAATATTACTATAAACTACCTTTATTCAGCTGAATTTCAATTAAAACCAGCGATCTGATGTAGGTATAAGAAGAAGAATACATAAAAAACCATCAACTGCAGACACTAAGAAATGATTACATCGAGATATAAGATCTTATGGGCTTCTCACTACGATGTAGTGTTTTTGACAACAAATTAGACAAATTTATCTCAATAGGATGGTAATAAACAAAAGACGTGTACGGTAGAAATACATGAAAACCATTTATTATAATGTATAATTATATTTTGATGGTTTATTTCTAAAAGAGCCGCTGATAAGTGCAGATAAACGGTGAAAAGAAGTAAGAACAGAATTTTGTATACAAGAATGGAGCGTTAGGTAAAATAAAATATAAAGAATAATAATATAATAAAAATAAGATAAGCCCATTGTTTTGTTTTTATCAACTAATATCCAAATGTTTTATAAAAAATTAATTTTTGTTCTTAACTTTTATAAAATTAATATATAAAAAAAAAAATAAATGTTAAAAGCATTTATCAATCTACATCTTGCTCTTGCACATAATATAGCTGTTGATAATATTTATTAAAGTGCCAACAAATTAGTAGCTTGAGACACGAGGAATAATTAGATGGTTATATGCATGCGAATTACTATTTAAACTCGAGTGCAATAGGGTGATTTTATAAAAGTGATCCACTCAATGTCTTATAGAGTTTAATTAGTAATCGATTTTTTTTTTGTTTTTTGCACAATGTGGTTACAATATTTCATCAGCCTTTATGTTTTTGTCCTCTTTCTAAATGAACTAATTTTTTATAAACTTTTGAAAGATGTAGAAAAATATATACTTTATTAACTTTTTCAATAAAAATAATTTACTAAAAATGTTGGCTAGTCTATAACCAGTTTTAAGTATATATTGTTAAAGCTATTAAAGATTAGAACGGAGGAATGGTGGAGTGTAGTATTATTTTTACCTGCACGCGTTACTCCTTCCGTCCTAATTTTTAAGCTTTATTAACATTAAAAGTATTTGATCAGAACTGGTTATCGACTAGTCAATACTGTTAGTAAATTATTAATATGATAGAGCACTGCAAAAAACAAATTTGAATATTGTACTTATTAACTGATATTTCTCCAAAAAATAAAACTCCAAAATTGCAACAATTTTGGACTCCAATAACTTTAATAATAGTTATTCAAAACTGGTTATCGACCAGGCAAAACGTTTAGTAAATTATTATTCTTATTTTAAAAATTTAACATTATATGTGCGTTCTTCAATTTAAGTTTAAAGAGCTGATATAAAAATAATAAATATGGGAGGGGTTAAAATCATAAAAGTTTATGAAGAAGTGAGATCACACTGCACATAAAAACACTACGAACAAAAAATGTATGCCCTGTATGCCCATTGTGGTGACTTAAGTATTTAAAAATGAATATTATTATAATGTGGAGATAGTTTAATCGAGGTAAAAGATCTTCATAATGGTATGGTACTTATATAGTTATATCTATTAAGAAATATGATAATGTATCAAATGATAATGGTGATTATTGGTAAGGCATTTTGTAGTAAGTACAAAATTCGTTTATTTTTCACCACAGTCAACATAATATAAATTACAACAGTTCCATCCCATGCGTGCATATTAAATTATGCAACAATTTATGTTATCATAATTTATAATAATACATCCTCCGAAAAACTATTATGTTGTTGTGGTATCAAAAATAAAGTGTGTCACGTTGTCGACGACTTTGTTTTTGTTTTAAAACTTGTATGACGTTATTTTACAAGCATGCGTGTGCCGTGGGGATTATTGTTTTCGCCGTAGGTATACACAAGAAGGACCCTGTAAAAGTCTTAACTTTAGTAAGTCAACAGAACACACGAGAATTTTAATTTTTGTATGACCGACTTAAAGTTTTTCATTGTTGTTTTAACTTAAAGTATATAAATGGCGGACCATATATCAAACAGAGTGCTCTTATATTAAAATAGCACTATAGAGCATTTATTTTATTTTATAGTAATTATTTAAAATTATTCAACAGAACTAATGTTTGAACTTTGTATGTAGAAAGTAAAACATGTAAACTGTTATTTTATATATACACATGTATTATATGTGTACAATATACATAAGCATGTGTGTACCTTGTCCCATAACGTTAAGTTTAATGTTAAATTTGTTCAAAGTAGTCGGTACTTGTCTACAATGAATGCAACACCGTTTACTATTGCATATTTTTAGAAAATAACTTTTACATAGGTAAAATGCGATTCGCTTATTTTTAATATTTAACAATCAGCTTCTTAAAAAACATATGTTTGTGGGCTTACAATCGTCTGAGACAATTTTCCGTAATGAAATTATTTTTTTTTAAAAAACATGAAATTTTTACTTGAATTAATGATTAATTTTCGTGTTAAAATCATTAATACATTAAACTGACTTGTTGTTCATTCGTGGATCCCTCATTGATCGTGTATCTTACAATTGAACCATCAGCGTGACCGGATATAAAAGCAGTTCCCCTAGCGCTGCAACAAACATAATTACTGAATCATTACTCAAAGTATTATCAACACAATATAACGGTAATAATATTCATCTAATGTATAGGTCTTGTTGGCATTATTTCATATTTTAATCAATATATATTTTTAACCTAAATGCTTTTTTTGGTTCTTATTTTTCATACAACATCAAGTATAAAATATATGTTGTTATTGCACTATTAATTACACACAAAGGTGTGGAAATATCTTACAAGACTACAAGTTTTAACGTAAATTATCAAATAAATGAATTCTCATAAGCACAGGATATTAACCAGTTATTGTTCACAAGCTGGCTCTAAATAGTTATTGTTTAAAATAGGTAACATAGGTAAATTGTTATTGCCTATAATTGTTTAATATGCTTCGAAATTATTCCCCTTATGTTTTAGATAAATTAACAATTCTAAAATCAAAAAGATTTCCTAAGAGTTTGAGTAAATTACCTATGTATGAGTCGTAACTTGAAATGTTTGAAGGTCCTTGACATTTTTTTTATTAGTAGAAAATGTTTAAACAATATATAAAATATTAAAGGTTGACTATAAACAATTTTTAGTTGTTCCAATTAATTTCAAACTCAATTTGTAAAAAAAAGACGGGTACTTAATGACATTATTATCTGCACTCAGATATTCCACTAATAATAAGGTATTATAGTTATAAGAATATTATAATGACATATTTTTGTATTTCATACAGTATTCACATTATGTTTTGTTATAACTGAGCACTTAGCGACTTGTATTGGGATGTAAAATGAAAGTTTTTACTTTTTTAATTTACTTTTATAGAAAATTTTATGTTAGTATTCTCAGAACTTGCTACGCTATAGAAATCCTTTGCTCGAATATGTTAATTTAGTTTCTTATTATTCCTTTGGGAAATAAAACAAAATCTATATTTTCGTGTGGTATACTTTAATTAAAACATGAAATTCTTAAGCGTAAGCTCATTCGTCAAATTTAATAAGAAAAAAGTAATGTTCATGAAATTTGAATAGTTTAAATTACATTTTTGGACTAAAACCCAAACATTATGCAATATATTTATTTAGAACAATTAAATAATAGTAATATAAATATACGCTTATTGTAAAATGTAAGATAGAACTTGACATTGTGATACGGCTGAAACATTTATTTTGCCAAGTATCCTAATTTTATAACCAGTTTTAAACAGTTATCGCTATATATTTGTTAGGTACTAATAATATTTTAAATTGTAAAAAATTGTATTTAGTTACACATTTTATTTGTACAAAACATATGGATGGATTAATGTATGACAATTAGAATTTAGTATAAATACTGTATGTTAGTTATGTAAAGTTAATGCGTTGTAATAATTGTATTTAAGTATTAAATTGGCATTTACTCAGAACAACGTGGTACAATATTAATATCTTGTTAAAATACACGACAACCAGGTATTTAAAGTTGGACAAAATCCAGATATTATCATAAATTTAAAATTCTCAAACTCAAGAAAAGGCTTTACTTTCAAGGTTATCTGGTTTTAAGAAAAAATTTGGTTTTTTTACATCGATAATTCGCATAACTCAGATCGTTTTGGCATAAAATGTATATTATTATAACTAACCGTAAAATGTTAACATACTATTTAACACTTATGTTATTCTTAAAATTGATAAGCTTATAAACCTCTATTAGGTAAGGCAGTAGGGTACATGATATGCCAGTCTGTATAGATGAAATGAGTATAGTTATTTCTAAACATTGCGACTGTTTCAAAGTTTTAATCGCACTTATTTTATTAGCTCACTGTTACGTGTTTATTATTTATTTGTTTTTCATTTCTTCGAAAAACCCTCCAGTGGCTTCACACTCGTTTCTTTAGCTAATTAAACGGTTATCGCTCGTACGCTGACAATACAATAGTTAGAGACAACGACTACAGATGGACGTGCATATTATAGATTGTAATATTATGGAAACGCTTTTCGAATCGTTTCGAAGTTATCAGCTTACTTGGAAGCAAGTGATACGACGTACGAACCGGTGGCGTAAAGGGTTTGAGATTTATTAGTTTTGCAGTGGGCGGCTCGTATCTTGCCGTCTAATTGCCCGTAAATTATCGGTCCCTCGGACATCCACAGCACGCAGGTCACTGGAGACTTAGTGCCGAATTTATTACATATCACTTTTTTGGCTCCCCTGTAAAATCGAATTACACATTATAATATGCCATTAACATGGACGGTTGCAAAATAATATATACACCGTAATAATGGCAAACGTGCGTGTGTGTTAATATATATATATTCATGTGTATGTACATATATATATATATATATATATATATATATATATATATATATATATATAAATACGGTAAACTGAAGGTCTTACGTATATAAACTAACGCCTCCGTGTAACTCACCAACTGTCGCCGATTTTGTACACGAACACCATGTTGTCGGTCTGTCCCACAGCTATTTTCGATGAATCCGGCGAAAATGCCAAACCCTTGACCGTATAACTTTTGCGACCGGCCTGTGTATGTAAAACGCAATAACAGTGAAGAAACTAATACAAAATCATGAACAATAATAGTTTCATAGTACACAACAGTAGTATTCGGAATGTTGTTAATGTCAATTTTTAACGGAGAGCGCAAACTGTAAGTATTAGGTATTATGTTATAGTGTTCTAAAGAGTAATTAATATAGTAATAATATTTAAATTTCAAGGTACTCGGTAAAAGAAAAAAAAATACAGCTTATGAGAAAAACTATTATGTTCAATATTTAAATACATGTAAACAAAGTTACGGAAAAATTTGGTTATTTTCTGGAAAACTGTATTTTTTTAAGCATAAAAAATAGAAAAACGACAGAGAATTAGAAATGTTTTATAATTTCTTGTAAATTTATCAAATTACAAATAATTTTACCAGAAACTCAAAAAGTTGAACTCAAAACTTGTTAAAACTATTAATGTTACATAAGACACTATTTTTCTTTAAAGTAATTGCAATTTTCTAGTTTTTCTTTTTGGAGTTACACTAGTTTATGTTATTTTATAATATTAGAAAATATTCAAACTTTTATCTTCTTTAATTGTTTCCAGAGTTCTATCAACTTATAATACTTTTATGGGAACGCATACATTTAATTACCTTTTTAAATTAAGAACAATTTGATGGACATTTTAACTGGTCAATAACCAGTTTTGGAATTACTTTTAAAGTTATTAAGAAGGCGTCGCACCGGTGATTTTCAGTGGTAAAAACATGTTTACGCCAACTGAAAATAACTCGCTTAGTATTTGTTTTAGAGTAAAAGCACCAATTATAAAATTGAAAGAAAACAATATTCCGGAGGGCAAAACAGCGCGTTTTTTTTTTTAATTCATTTTTTGAAAAGTTACAGTTATTTAAAAATGTTAAAATAGTCGTTATTTTTAAACTATGTATTGAGCGTTATACTTAGAATAATGAAAAAACGCACCGTCTTACCCTCTGGAATATTGTTATCTTTCAATTTTAAAATGGGTGATTGTACTCTAAAATCAGTTATTTTCAGTCTGCTTAAACATGTAGAGATGAAAAAACATTTTTAAATCGCTTTCAAGGATGCTGTGATAGTCCAAAAACTAAATTAACTACCAAAATAGAGTTCTAGTTATTGAACTAATAATTACACATCACAGTTTAACCTTTAAATTAAGATTTTGTAAAAAATTGCCTATACTTTACTCCTTAAAATGGACAGTACGACGCCCTCTTAAGGTTTGTAGCTTAGGGCGGGAGTAAGGTTTGAGTTAACAGTTATTTTTATTTACGAGGCTTACTCCGCCGCACTCCTCCTCCCTACCTAAATTTTAAATTGTAATCACTTTAAAAGTAATTATCCAAAACTGGTTTTAAACAAGTCAACATTTTCAGAAAAATATTCTCATTTTAAAAATGTAATTACTTATATACGCTCCCATTTAAGTTTCAAAAGTCGATAGACCTCTGGAATAAACTAAATAACGTAAATATTTAGTAATTTAACAATATTGTAAAAAAACAAAAATGTTTTCAAAAAGAAATACTATAAAGTTGCAATTATTTTAGAAGAAAATTAGTGTCTTATATTTAATGAATCACCTATATGGAAAACAAATTAATAAATCCTACATAATACATAATATTATTTGTTTTTGTAAATATTATTTTAAAAATGTAATTTCATATTAATATAATATAAATACTAAAAGTAAATATTAAATTATATTAATTGTACAACTCTTTGATTGGCAGCCAGAAGCAGTTTTATAAACGGTAATTACAACGGTTTTGTATACAGACAGATTAAATATTCCTTTTCAATTAAGCTAAGCTAATATTTGAACTAAAACAGGTAAAATCTTAATACTTATATCTGTCTCACCGTAAAATTGGCGTTTTATTGAAATTCGAAATGTATTTTAAATATGTGTAGTATGGAAATACTATTTACGGCAATAATGTAAAAATAAAATGCACGATACGGTCAATAATATCAAGGTCCTACGAATACAAAATATATTTTTCCTATTCTAGTATTTCAATACAGCTTTTGTACGTTTGTTTGTTCTATATTTATATGTAATAAATGTAAATTATCCCAATAAATGTATTCATTGTACTTTTTGTTTACTGTTGGAATATTTATAAATATGTAACTTTATATTAATTTACTTTAAATGCTAACAAAATATAGCCGTTTTTCAAATGTCCATGTACACATAGTTTTTCAGCTTATGACTATATTGATGTAAATAAGTGTAATCGATTTGGATAGTTGCCCGAAACATACATACAGTTTTATATGTACTACACTGCAACTAGTAGTAAATCATTTAAAACCGATTTCCAACAGTTTGTATATCCATATTAATTTTAATTTTCATACATGCAATAGTTCTATTTTTTTATGAACAAGATTCTAAATATATTTTCTTAATTTAACTTAAAACTATTTTGTAAAACGAGCCCAACCGTTTATGATTTTTAAATACTTGGAACAATAATAGTCTGATAGTTTTGTGTTTTTAATGGACCAGAAGTATTTCGTCCCACACATTTTAGTGGTCGCCACGTGTGATTTTGTATCTAAGAAAACTTGTTCTTTTTTATGAAAGATCCTTTTTATAAAATTATTATATATTTTTTTTTTAGTATTTTCTTTAAAATAAACTGACAACTACATACGTTAAGAACGGAATCAATCTCATTTTTAATAACTTACAATTTGTGTGGCATAACCTTTTTTTTGACGAGGTATTTAATAATTGGTATTTTGATGTAATATTACATTACAAGCATTTTTATTGAACACACTTGTGAGCGATAAGACAACTGGAATTATGATCAATAGGCTTCTGACACGTAGGAATATAATATATTAAAAAAAATTGTACATAGTTTATTGAACCCACATGATACCGGCAAAATATGATCGTAATTTATATAAGGCTGTACAACCCCCGAGTTGATGGATCACATTTTTTTTTAATAATGTTGACTTAACCATACGTCATGTTACATAGAAGAAAAATACGTAAGAAAAAATAACTTTTAATCAATATTTAAATTAAATAATGTAGTTTTATAGCATATAGTTTACTACGTTATAAAATAAATTTGTAATAAAAATTATTATCCTCGTTTTCAGTACACAAATATAGATAAAACGTTTAAAAGTAAAAAACCCTATTTTATAAAACTGTTTCAATTAAATTAACAATATTAATATATTTTTATCTAATTAAAAAATATCATAATAATAAGAATATATTTGAAATATTCAGCAAAATTATATAAATATTAACGGCAAATTAATTATAGGAGAGTTTAATATTAAATTATATTATTTCAATTCAACCAAATCGTTTATAATATTATAAAACAATATTTTCCTTATAAATTAATTTAAAACATAATTTCTAAACTAACTAATTTATTATTAATAATTAATAGCTAAATAATAATTAATAATAATTAGTAACTAAATAATTTCTAAATATCTAAACATAATTTCTAAATTTCTTTTAGAAAAAAGCATTGTAGTTTATTTATAATTGCTTCGATTGTTAAATTTATGGCGGTAATTTAATAATTCTAATATAAAAATAAAGATCTTAACCGAACCGAAATTAAAAAACCAGTACAGTGGGGTCGGGGCATAGTGGGGACGGGGAGGTCACAGGTTTACAGGAATTTTTAAATTTGAAAGTGATAAAATCACTTTCGAAAAAACGCTTCTATGCAAATCGGTAGTTCGTATTTTCAAGTCAGTACAGTCCAAAGCAAGCACAGTATAAACCAGCAAAGTTAGAAAGTATTAAATTGAGGTGCTGTATTTACAAATAAGCATCGAAACGTTAATTTGAAATTGATTTTATTCAATTTTATCACTTCTATTTATAAAAATTCCTGTAAACCTGTGACTTCCCCGTCCTCACTATGCCCCGGCCCAACTATGCTCCGTCCCCACTATGCCCGACTCCACTGTACTGGTTTTTTTTTTTGCAAACACATAGTGGACCAAATCATAACGAAAACACAGTTTTCCGGCAATTAAAAAAAAACAGTAGTGCCGAATTTGTTTTCCGTTTAATATGTTATGAAGACATATGAGTTCTAACTACTGACAAATTTTCAACTTAATGGTCCTAAAATAACTGCTAAAAAACTAAAAAAACTTGAACCCTCTCTAGGGGACGGGAAATGGATTTAACTTAAATTTGGTACAACTGACGTGTGCGGGCATACCAAATAAATATTTCTTATAAATTTCGACTCGATCCGACTCTTTTTCTCGAAATTATAGCCAATAAAGTGCTAACTTAAAAACTCGTACGTTTTTTATGTTTTTTTTTAAATTTCGACTGTGAAGAAGTAAACTTTTCAACTTTTACCTCCCCCCCCCCCCAAAGTACCAACTAGATGAAATTTGTGATTTATAGAGTTGCTACTCGAAGGAAATGGTTCAGTGTTAAAAAAGTTACAGTGTATATAGATAAAAAAAGCCCACATCAGAGTAAAATCAATACCTTCGCCGCTCTGCATCGAAGTTAAAATTAAAAACTGACGTCAAAACTTTTTTTTGATATCTTTAGGGAGGATTTTTTTAAAATTTAACTGTAGACATCGTTCGGAATTAATATGCAATACTTAATGGAATTTCGGGAAAGTTAATTGTTTGGCGAATTTCATTTCTCGACATGTCAAGTAAATGACATTCAATTATTCTTGATTCTCTTAACTTTCCTGATTTCAAAACTTCTAATAATAAATCAAATGTGTTATATTTTACCAAGTAAACCTTGAAAGTTTCTCTGAAAGTTTTTTACGGCCACCTATACAGCCAAACTATACCTAATATACCATGCTGAAATGTTATAGGAGGGAGATTATTATTATATTTTTGATTTTGAATTTCTTTTGGTAATTAATAATGGAACCGCCAATAGTAATTAAGGTGTGCATCACGAGCACAACAATATCTAATTGGTTTTTTGATTAACTTTTGCGACCAGACCATTGGTTTCCCATATAAATAATGTAAAGAACGCATCAATCAAATATGTTTTTTTCTCATTTATTAACAGCGACAATAAAAGCTATGATATTACTGGCATCAAAATGAAATAAAGATACAAGCTATTTAGGAGACATACTTATAAAAATAATATCATTGCATGTTAAAAAAAACTATCAGGTTTTATTTAGAGCTATAACCTCAGGTATTTACTTGAACTCGTCTTGCTGTCCTTTCTCGAGGAATTAACCACAAATCCACAAGTATCAGACAAAATTAAGTAGGTATAAAAACATTAAACATCCTTACAGTTTTTATCATAATTTATACCTTTGAGTAATATTAATGCAATTTCTGGGTAATAAAATAAAATGTATAATATAATATATGTCAAAATAAAATTGGCATAAAAGCTAAAAAAAAATATATCTTTGATGAGTTTTTAATTAAAAATAATCGTAGTACATACGAATTTAAATAAAACATATGTACTTATTAATGTTCAGTAACTATTAACTATTAAATATAATGTATGGATATTAAAAAGACAAATATTAGTGTGCAACAAATATGTACGTACAATATTTTTAAAAAATCGCTGATAAACAAACAACTTATCAATATTTTTTAAAGTTCTGTTTTTTTTTGTTAATGGTATACTATCCTTAAACCTACCCTTTTTGGTTTAGTTCTATATATTTATATCTATACTGGAAAAAATGTATTTTAGAGCTTAATATAAATTAGCTTAAAATTGTTTACATAAATTAAATCTATTTAAATCTACAATTTTTTAATAAAATAAGTTATTGCCTATATTTTGCCCTTATTTTATACAGGAGTTAAAACACAAAAAACTCTTTAGATGGATCCCTATGTAGTGTGTGTTTTGTATATATTTTGTAGGTTATGATCTAAATTTAAAATTAAATATATCATTAATATTGACCAATGGTAATATAAAAAAAAAAACCAACACCAGTTATTATTTAAATTTAAATTGATTGCCTTATTGTTTAAATTGTATTTGAAATCATATCTTAAATTTTAGATATTCAAATACATTTTAAACGGGTGTATGGATTTGAACGTTATATTTTGGTTGCTACAATAGCTGTTGTTTTCAGTATTTATACAGGTTAGGTTGGGTTCTCATTTAGGCATTTACATATTTGTCACGAAGACAATACATTTTTATTTCAAAGCATAATACGTTTGCGATGGTCTCTATATTGTTGTGCTATTCTTTTAGCGAATCACAAAACACAAATATCATAAAAATTACACCCCTATTCAACGGTTTTTTGGGTGCAAACAATTTTTATACCATATTATCTGGATTGTGTTGAAGCATAACAAAAAAAAAATATTAATTCATACTTTGTAAGCAAACAGTAATTATTGCTACTACAGTTAGGTTCCTTTTCAGAGTTCCAGGTCATAGTTTTCAGTTTTTGTGTTGATCCTTAAATTTATCCTATAACATCATTGGTATATTATATGTATTGGCCCTCAAACCCGGTTAGACGACCAAAACGTTATTGTAAACGTTATTATTGCTATTACTATCGTCGTCATTAATATATTAACAACATTATTATTATCTAATTGTAAAAGCCCAAAACGTCGATAGCTCTGTCCATTGGGATGAATAAACTTGTGACGCCTCCGCCGCGGACCTTAATAAAAACCAAATGGACTGGTTAGAGGACGCGGCCGGCGGTGGTTGTGGGTGTTTAGGAGGGGAGGGGGGAAGGCAGTGTGCGGTGGCCCATTTTACGAGTTTATTTTCATGGCCTTATACTTCTAATGCATTTAAATACGCCGATTTGTAGTCGGTTTGCGTTTGGGGAGGATATGAGCCCCCCGGCGCTGTCCCCACCCCCTCCAGTCCTCGTCCGACCACTACTGCTACTACACGGTTGCCGCCCCTCTGTAAGTCCAAACTCACCCCATGCTCCACAGGCTTTGTGGGAAACTTGTCCCTTTTCACGCCGTTCTCGTCGAACAACAATACCACGCGATCGTTGTTGCACACCGCTAGTTTTTGGTTGTTTGGCGACCATGCGGCAGCGAGTACTTGAGACGGTCCATTCTAAAAAAAAAAATATATATAATAAATAATATATATATATATATATATATATATATATATATATGATGCAGAAGCATGTTTTATCTAGAGTTATTTCATATTACGTCTGCCTTATACATTTTAAAAATCCAATTTCAGAGAATACAATCGTATCATCTGAACTATAAGGGTTTGCATATTTTATTTCAATAATATGAGACTTAGTGATTTGGGTAGCGACCGTTTTATCTATCAAATGAGTTATAAAATAGAAAATATTTTTTTCAGATTTATCATAAACAAACCGACGGCAAGCGGACAATTTATTATATTATAAGACCTGGCCAAAAGTACAAGAAATGAACAATAGGTTTTATCATTTTTTTACAAATATTTTCACTTTTATTAAATATTATTTAATATTTATTACTTATGATGATAATTCAGTATTGTAGCGGGGATAGTGTGAAATAATAGTTATTAAAAAGTCTGATATTAAATCATTAATATTAATATTAACACCGCACATTTGTTTAAAAAGCGACATAAGTGAAGTATTATAGTTTTCAGTTATCACCATGATAAACTTGGGTAAACATTCTTAAAAGTATGCAATAATTATATTAATTCAATTATTCCTAGCGCCCATACAGTTTGGAGAAATTATTTGTATTTTTTTTTTGTATCTGTCTTAAAGCATAGATTAAGTACATATTATTATAGAGGGCGAACGCCCGTATGTTATGGATTTGATGCTTCTTTAATTGGATTTCCTAATAGTTTTAACACAGGGAAATCAAGTAATGCGGGTAAATCGTGTTGTCTGTTGTTACAATAGCGTTGCCTATTGTATATTCAGTCTAGGTACTGTTCTAGCTATATGTATATATATACATAAAGACTAATTAATTAACTAATTTAGCTGATTCATTTTTAATTATTCGGTTATTTTGTTTACCAGTTTGAAATTTTAATGGAAAACACCACCACTTGTACGTTTTTTGGATTATTTTGTTTTAATTTTGGAAATCCCCACGTTTCTATACGTAAACAGATTAATATTTTTCATCAATTCTTTTTAATTCCATAGTATAAGCCAATGATTAATGGTTTTATTGTGATTTGTTTGTTTTTCCATTGTGTGACTGCCATTCATTTGCGATGGTCGTTACTCGCATGTTTGTAACTTTATATCCGAATATGCGAAATAATATTTATGCCTCACAAGTAAAAAGTGGAAACCAATTGTATTTTCCTGGTCTTAAATGTCTCTCAGTCCAGTTGTCCGTAAAACACATTAGTCACATTATTTTTAGTTGCAAACAATGTGATTTATCGTTTAGTTAAATTTGTTTAAAAAAAAATTAAGCTATAAAATATATTTAAACGACGTGACATCAAGCCATTTAACGTAATACGATAATTAAATAATACCTTATCAGTTCTCACTGACAGTATATTTATCAGTGAAATAAGACACGTAGTATAGAATATTTAGAAATATATTTTATTAAATTACTTCCGACTTATTTTTTTTTCTTTAATTAGATTTTGTATTGTACGTCTGAGAAAGTAGATATAGTTTAAATATTATTAAAAAGATAAATTAATTGTTTGAATTCATTTTTTTTAGTTTTACAAAAGTTGTTTTTTTGTTTATAGTATTACTTATAAAAGTATACAATTCAAAAGGCATTATTTATTTTTTAAATAAACAAAAACAATTCTTTAGTAAAGTTGTCGATGTAGACCTGAATAAACATTAAAATATAAAACAACAGTCTTTATATTATAGACTGTTTATCCATATAACAATAATATTATAAACAGTAAAATATATTGGTATTTAAAGTAAAATATATTGACATTTTTATTTTCAACATTTTAGGTTTCACTCAAATGATTGTGGTAAAATGTGTCAAGGATGATTTTTTGGATAATTACCATTCAATCAATGGTAAACTGCGGGGATCACATTTTAGATGTGTCCAAACATTTGGGTCTCATTCACCCTGTCAAGTTTTGAATTTGCCAACATAGTAAGGATGGTTTGAGAAATATGTGTTATAGGAGTTTCTAAATTCACTCCAAAACCAACCATACACATAACATTTTATATAACATACAATACAACACAATACATACAATAACATACAATACATACTAACCATACCATATATCGCTAACTCTGTCTAAGAAGCTGTTTATCAGTTAAAATGATATGATAATTTGAGTTCATGGCAGATTGTTCTTGTATGAAAATACATAATATTTCTTCTACAGTGGTCAATAATAAATAATGTAAACATTTTTTAGACTAAGTTCTTATATACTAAATATAAAAAACCAATAAATCAACCGTTGTACATGACCTACTGAACACAGAATCAGTAGTTAAATATACAATTTACTATATGTTAATCGTCAACAATTTTATAAACTCTGAAGCGATAAAAAAACTGATTATTAAATCTAGATATAGATAGGGCTCTCCTTACACTTTTTTTGGCGATCAGTTTGTTAATAAATCTATGATTAATATAATATGGTTGCTGAAATCGGATATGAGTGTAAGTTAATTCTATTATTATCTATGTCACAAAGTATTTACTAACCAGTAATGCAATTCATTTTATAATCAGCTTATTATGGGGTAATAAGTTAATTTTAGTAGATTTATTTCTTTCAGTTTATTAGATTAGAGATAAATAAATAAAATAAAACAAATGTACTATTTTTTACAAATTTCCAATCGTCATGCTTGTTGGAATTTTCAAATTAAATATGAAAAATAATACTTGAATGGGTAGTACTATTTGTATTGAATGAAAACAACTCAAGCACAGTTCACGTTCTACTCGAAACGAACGAAATTAATTTGAACCGACCGAATAAGATAAATTAACAGTGAAACAAATTTCGTTTTACGTATAACAATAACACGCTTAATTTAACTCACCTGAATTACCGTGTATGTTAAGCTTTACAATCTCAATGGATTTCACCATACAGTAATACATGTAATATGTGTAACAGATGCCCTTGCAACTAATAATAATCTGCGCTGCGTCTGTGAGTTTCAATTAACTTGAGAAAATCATTTAGAAACCAGTAGCTGTTCCAATTACTCTCATTATTGGTTCAAATCGTGTAACTAGTTTTTATGTATTTTTTTGTTTGCTGTAATGAACCCATCAAGCGATAGTAGTGTGTTTTTGTTTGTGCTCACTCTTGTTCTTACAGCGAACGGAGTAAAGTTATAATTTCAAAGAAAACTTACAATTTAATTAACACATTGCACGTCACAAGTCAAATTGTTAATTTTTGTGTAGCTTACAGTTGAAAAATTTCAATTCCAAATACACAACAAATTGTTACTAATTGCTTACTAAAAATAATAGTAATACTATAAATAAGAATGAGCATGCAAGATTTGATAAAAACACTCAACATAAACAACAATCAGACACAGGTTTTATTATCATCAAGATAACCTTCTGCAAACAAAAATAACAAAGAAAAAAGTAATATCATTGATTATAAATAATACAAAAAATATATGATTCATAATCAATGATAAAATTGAATTACCTGTTTTTTTTTTAAATTTGTATTTTCAATATGCGTACTTTGGTATTTTAACTGTATAGCTTATTAAATTATTTAATTACAATTTATTTATACGGAATTTTATTTTCATAATACTGATATTATTATTATTGTCATTAAACTTATTTCAAGTGTAATGATTTCGTCCTAGGCCATTAAAGTTATTGTCAAACCCGGCCGTATGGGTCATTTGACTCGCTCAAGCTCGTTATTATTACCTACTCTTTCCTTGCAGTGTACCTGCTCGGCTCGAGTCTGTAGAAAACTCATAAAAAACTCGCTTTAACAATATACTATAATATGCAGACAGCACGTACGCGGTACGGCTATAAAATACAAAATATACAACTACTACTACTACTACTACTACCACTACAACAACACTTCTACTAAACTCATTATTCGATTTGCGTCGATACTCTTTTTGCAATCAGGAAACTTACCTCCGGCTCTACCAACGTTTGCAGATATTTCAATTTCATAACAACGTATTGTATGTATAGGTACGTATTTATTTTTCTTAATTTCCGGCTCGCCGATAATTAGCGGAAATAACCAAACGAAACATATCATCGATAAACATTAAACCCTCATTGGAACGAGCATCGTGTACATTGTGTATTTTCGCTGTGTATTTTTTTGATGTCGAAATTAGTCGCTATGGTGACTGCGTTACGCATGGCAGCAGCTGCGGTATTATAGTGGTCGAGCAGGACTAGGGAATAGAAAAAAAAACGTTTTCGAAAAAGTAAGTACCTACGCACGAAATGCCAACAATAAAATATGTTTTAACGCCCGACGTTAAAGCATTTATTATTCCTAATTGTTTTTTTTCTTCAGATAAAATAGTTAAGTACCGGTTCGCCAGGTCCCCGAACGAGAGTAAATATTAAACTGTAGGACGACGTTTACATTTTAAAACCTTGGTTTTTTAAATCATGGGCTTGCCCTAGACGCGTTCTAAGGACTTGAACCCAGTTCTGTTTACCCACATTAATATCAGAGGTCCCAGTCTAATATTATGATACAATAATATTATGTTATATACAAAACAAAAAAAAATACATTCCATCGGAGTAGATACAAGTTAGTGACATTAATTATATTGCAACAACTAGTGTTTTTATTTCAATGTAACATTCAAAGCAAACTATAGTGCCATAGTATTCACTTATATTACAAGGTGATGAACAAATTATGTTAAGTCTCTAGTTTAACGAATTATGTAGAAAAAACTGAATTAATTAGTATACATTTTCCTAGGAGATATTATAATGTCGAATCCTTATGCCACATTCTGTATAGATACATACGCTTTTTAGTAAAAAAACAGAATAAATATAGTTTACTATCCTATTATTATAATATATTATAGAAACTGTAACAGATTTTTATATGCGTATTGGGTGACGATAATTTACAAGTCGAATTTAAATTTTAAAATTCAAAATGGTAATTTCTATGCGAAAATCATGGCACACGAAATATATTGTATAGAACCGTTCATATTTTTCTCGAGCATCCCTCTAAAATACGACCCTCTCCATTGTGTAAATGCTAAAGGTTAATTTCAAACCGTGACATAATACTCTTAATATACAAGTCATTTGCCTATATGAAATTATGTTATTATAATAATAAAAATGGACCATCCACAATTCTTAGTTTGCATTTTGTGTATTATTTGTTAGATTACTAATTATTGTAGAACACAGTTAATAATAAGTTTGTAGTATACTTACTAACACTAATATCTGGACCAATTAATTACAATTTTAAATGGTGTATTTTGGTTTTTTTTTTTAAGTGCCATGGATACCTTATGGATATTTTTCCTGTAAACAATTATTGAATTATATAAATATATTTTTTTTGCAAATCATATTTGTTTAACGTTGTGCGACTAGTAAATAGAGGATTGATGCCACACTATGCGTTTATACGGTTTTATTTAAAACTGTATATTTTATTGATGAATCGGATTATATAGAACAGATTATTAAAGATTTATTTTATAAAAATATATGTAATTAATATTAGTTGACAACGGTATTTACAGCACAGCTATGAATAAAATGGTACAAATTTAACCGTTAAGGGTTTTAAACAGATATTTCCAAAGATAAATTGATCTGGAATATAGTTATAAATTTAAATGGACAAGATAAATATTTTTATAATGTGTACTGACTACAGTAAAAAACTATACCAATATCCTCAGTCATGTGCGACTCGAGGTCTCGTCCGTTTTCTATTAATATATCTTTGAAAACATGTCTTAAAGAGGGGAATTGCAAATGTTAATTATTGTACGCTTGCTCACCACATAAATATAGAAAAATGTAAATATTATGTAACGACCTCGGTGACAGATTAAAAAAAAAAATAATGAAAAAAGTGAGTCTTCTTAAATGGTTTGGTAACGTAAGACAGTGGGACTCAGAAATAGGAACTGTCTCGACTTGCTTGTTCAAACTTCAAATACAATAGCACAAAACGCTCTCCTCCTTACATATTATTTGTCTTAAGTTTTGCTGAATTAATGCGGGACAAGGTTAGAGAGTTTTGTTTACTTTCTAATTGGCTAAGGTTTATTTTATGTTAAAAAGACATAGCTTAATAAAGTTAATTCAGCATTCCTAGTATTCTACCGTCTAATGACTACACTCATAGGTGACACTTAAGGGAAACTTCCCAGGGTGCATAACTTAACAACAATTCACCGAACCGTTAGAGGATTTGCCTCCACGCGTCATTACTCAACTCTGAAAGGACTTAACAAACTTAACACAAAGCCAAAATGTTATGCGTAACAATAATTTCATAACAATATTATTCTTATCATATTTTATCATCGCTAAATGAAATAAAACTAATATCTTGAGTGCACACATATGGCAAGACTACAATATATATTACCGTTGCAAATATATGTGATTATCAATACTATGTTTGTCCAGCGACAAAAATGTCGGGGGCGCGAATCCACTGACATGAACCGATTGCTAACGTTTGTATTTTTATATTATAATATTCATGTTTATTATTTTTTTATTGGACCGTGTTTTCAGTCGAAAAGGTGTTTTATTGGGCGTTATAAGTGGTTTTTTAGGTGTTAAACTGCGCATTTGGTGTACAAATAAGAGTTGACGTTAAAAGCGTTATCAATCAATCGGCAGGGGTAAAAAACCATTTAGTTTCAATGAGTGAGCGAACGTATATGGAAAAAAAACCCCTAACTCACCGTTAAGATTTACAGGCGTGACGGCGTTCTAAACCGTTGAGGTATTGCCAAGACCGCATCCCGATGCCTCCGGTCATTTCCAATGGGTTCCCAGCGTTGATAGGCTTTTCTTAATACGGCCAATAACGCACATAACAAACCGTGTCTCGGCGTTAAATATAGAGTTGGACAGCGATCAACAAAAATCGTTTCCTTTGGAACGTGCTTGTAATTCGTTCACGGCCATTTAAGCTGTCCAAAACAGTGTATTTAATAGTAACCAACCGCATATCCACACTTTTTTTTATTTTGGTGTCAGAATATAGTATAATATTATTGTAGTGGCGGTTGGATGGAATTTTTTTTTTAAATTTTGTACAGGGTGATCTATAAAAACGAAAGATACTAAAAAAGGTAAATATTTCGTAGTTTTATAGTATTGTACAATAACATAAGTAAAAATGATTTTAAAAATAAAAATTACAAAGTTGGTATTATCTTCCGAGTTTTCTTGTGTTAAATGAATCACCCGGTATACACAACGATAAAGCGGAGTGTCAAACATGACGTTTACATTTTATATTTGTCATCAACAGTTAATTTCATGTACAAGTAATTAATAAACTAAGGATTTCTTTGCGTACACAGTACAAGATTGTATTAGCCCCAGGCGTCCTATTTGCAATAAAAAGTCAAATGCCAACCGTTAAAAAAAAAAAAAACGGTAGGTACTTAACTCTTAAGCAAACAACTAGTGAAGATTCAATAATATTCTGTCTGTTAGCTATATTAGGTATTAAAAATACAGCGAGCTAAGAATTATTTAACATTTCTAGAAAAACAGCACTTAAAAAGAAATCTACTTGTAAATTTGTAAACATATTGAAAACAATACTGAAATTATATTATGTTATGCTTAAATTCGTTTAACGCGAAAATGAGGCGATTTTCTTAGCCACGGTATTGGATACAATGATTTTCACCTCTTTTACGGTAAATATAATATTATTTATGTATGATAATTACAGTTTTTGGCCGTGCTTCATTGTTTTGATTGTCTAGTTAATAGGCACAATACAAAGACTTATTATTATAACCGTTAAGTATGTTTTAAATTTTAAACAAGCGGTACAAATAACATGTTGTAACTGGAATTAACGTTTTTAGTTAACTAGGCTATTAGAATTTTACGTTTCAAAAATTATTGTAGAAAATAAAAATAATGTTTTTGTTGTAGGTTAATAAAAACGGATAAACAAGATTTTCGTATTTCTCAGTCATCTAATTTTTGTTATCAATCCAAAAAAAAAAACAGTGACTCGTAAAGTAATAGTTAATAAAAAAGTGAGCAAATCTTCTACCCTTACAGCAACTGAAAAACCATGGAGGGTCTTCAACGGGCATGCTGCATTTTAATAGCGGGTCAAAAATGTATGTCAATGCAATTTTCCCCCGCATGTATTAAAACTAAAAGTAAAATATCTCGACGTTTATTTTTTATTTTACGACCGTTTTCCATTTATGTGAGAAATAAAATTAACGATTCGCCGTCATGTGTGTTTAAAACCTTTCACATAAATTATGATTAAAAATATTCTTAATGCTATTTTTAAAATACCACGCCATCATTTTTGTTATTTTGTTTTTAATAATATCTTTTAGAACGTATAATTTTCTGTTTTAATACAGTGTTTGAAACATTTACTGAAAAACTGAACTCGTTTGCGTTGGCGTTCGTTGTGTTCTTACAAAAGCTTAACGAGTACATTTACAATAGTTTTTTATTTTATGAATAATAATTAGAAGCGAATTTAATCTTCCAAGGTGTATGTCAATAGTAAAATTTGCAATATAGCATTTTTTAAGTAATAAACTTAATAAAAATATTTAATACAAACATATGAATGTTCAAATTAAATTTTTATCCTAACATATTCTGTGTACTGTGTACAAATAAATGTTAAATAGGTAAACCATAATGTCAGCAAAACACAACATTGAAGTTCCAGTTTTACATTTAAATTAAACATTTTATTTACAGTAAAATTGTATAATTCTTATTGAAAAATTTAAATGAGCACTGGTTATCAACAAATCATTTGAACATAATTATTTACAATAATTTATTTTATATTTTTATTTATATAAAATTCTGTATTAAAAAAAGTACTTGGACTGTATACCTAATATTATATATTAGAAGTATTGGGTACTAATTATAACACTATAATATCATCGATATTGTTCGGTGATATCGCAAATATTTATTCCATTTTTAAGAATACATAATTCATTGTCTCGAGTTTTTTTTTGATAATTTTTTTGAATAAATATTTATTTACTGTATACAATCATTATATTAA